TGGAGACTGAGTAAGAAAACTGGAAATGCATAATCCATATCATCGTTTATTTTACTAATTTAACAATACACATGGCTTAAAACTTTAAAGCTTTTGCAAAAAAAAATTCATGATGTCAATTTTTTATGCAGTAGACACAAGACTAACTGATAATAATAATACTCAACTTTAATACTTAGATAATATGAAATTTTTCTAAATGTTGATGAAAGATTACTACAGTAAAATGTTAATTACTATTTGAATTATACAAAAAAAAATATGAATAAACATTTTGTTTCAGTTAATTAATAATTACTATTTTTGTAATTGTGTACACTACACTGTAATATATATATATTTTACCTCATAATTGATAAATTTCTGTTTGTACTGCACAACTTACTCAATGTAATTTTTTACACAGGTCTCCTTTCGTACTTTGCTTTTTATTTATTTATTTTACTCTACCAGATGATCTATAACTTTCATCAATTGAAAGTCAACAGTTTAAGGAAATTAACTTTTTCTGTTTAAACAAGAAAATACTTCTAATAAAAGGGAAAAAATAAATTATAGGTACATGTTTCTTAGTATTAATCTCAATCAGATCCCCCATATTAATTTTTCAGTGTTTTTCATTATATTAGTAAATAGGTACCAAAAATTTGACTCTTATTATTTTTGTTTAGTCTTTTCTTTTGTGTCAATTTTTATATATTACTTTTTATGTGATATATTCACAGGAAAAACTATTGTATGCTTTAATATTTTATTAATATTCTTATTATTTTCATTGTTTAATAGGCCATTAAAAAATATGCATATACAGTAGGGAACCGATTATCCGGAACAATCGGGACAGTCGCTATTCCGGATAACTGATTTTTCCGGTTTTCTGAATCGCAAAAAAAAGCTGTTTTTTTCATTGTCAAACTCAACTAAAAAAANCAGAGGGGGGATGTTGGCGAACACGGTACAACTTTGAACTTTATGGGCTCTATAAACATCCTCAAATTATGCAGATAATCCGAAGCAACCGACTAAGATGGCTCGGACATATATGGAGAGGCTCTGAAGATAGCCCTGTAAAAATTGCCACCTTCAAGAACCCTCAGGGGTCCCGCTCTAGAGGTAGACCACCTACTCGATGGCTCAACGACACCGAAAACGACCTCAAAGTCCTAAAACTTAAGAACTGGAGGGGAGTTGCCATGGACAGAGGGAGCTGGAGAAGGCGTGCTGTTGAGGCAGCCAAGGCCTGCAAAGGGCTGTTGCGCTCCTGAAGAAGAAGAAGCTTTTAGAATTGCATTTATTTTTGATATACAGTACTGCTTTTCTTAATTTCAATATATTTTTTTACATATATTGTTTTTTTTTTTTTCCAAGTAATTTTTTTTCTTCAAAATATTATGTTTTAACAGTGCTATTTTATAATATTCTATTGCCTATTAAATAAGTCTTCATATTAAAAATATTTTGAATAAACTTTGTATATAATTCTTTTTAAATACATATGGTATAGTGAAAAAGAATATTTTTCTTCGAAACATTTTTTTGTTGAAGTGAAAAAAGTATAAAGTGGTAGAAAAATGATTGCTCATGGAGTCTAAGTACAACTTACTCAACATAATTCACTTTAAGAAGAAGAAAAAATTCACTTATTTCTTTTCTCCTTTTATCTGTTTTATTTTAATTTGAATTTTTAATTCAATTCTATTTGCAAATTGGCTATTGAAATGGGTTGCAAATAGTGCATAGCATGTTTCTTTACCTTCATGGCAACACTAGGCTTATTTTCCCTATTAGCATATGAAAAGACATAAGGAATAGAATGTTCATTAATTCTTGTCTTGATTTTTAAACTGGCTAAAATGTTTAAATATGTTGGAAGCTATATGCAACTTCAAGGTTCAAGGGTTTACAGTGGTTAACGGAACAATTTTCAAACTTTAGACAATCTAAAATTTTAAAATATTATGTAAAGTGTAGTATTCCCAAACAATCGAGAAGAATAGAAGCGAATTCGAATATAATTGTAAAAGCGTATAATCGACAAAGTTCTCTGGAAAATATCAGTTGAAATATTAAATTGAAACTACTTTTTAATGGTTAAAAATAGTATCTTATACAATCACTTAAATTAAAAAAGAAATCATCAAACCTTTTTTTTTTGACAGTTTCAAAGAAACACTTAAATTATTACCATCCTGTATATAGAACTATTACTTTTTTCTTGTATAAGTTATTTACAGAGGGATCACTTTTGGTAAATCATTAATGGATGTTCTCCTTTCATTGGTGCCTCTGTATAAATGAAAATGTTACGATGAAAAGAGAATTACATAAATGAGTGTTAGATATTTTAAATTAAAAAAGATATCAAATGTTGGCTTTTTGTAATAATGTTATGTAGTATAGCTATGATGTGTAGCAGATATAGATAAAAGTTAAAATATTTAACATTCTTATATATTTAAAAGTACTAATGAAAGAAGAACACCAATTATTAATTTGTTGTCCACCAAAAGTAATTTCTCTCTATGTAAATAACTTATACATGAAAAAATTGGTAGTTCTATAGACAGGAATGGTAATGAAATCACTTTGAAATGGCCATAAAAGTAAAATTACTGGATGAAATGCTATTGAACTTCGTAATAGTTTAAAGGCGGTCATGGGAGTTCATTTTTCACCAGAAAAAAAAGTTCAAGAAATGGGACAGAAAACTTGCTTCTGTTGTTGCATCAGCAGTGGAGGAAGCATCAATGAACATTGTTTATAAATACGCTGTCATTTGAAAAATTTGGATTTATATTTGTATATAATATTACAATTGAAAGAAAAGAGAATAAGATAGATTTATAATTTAATTTTATAACTGTTTATGAGCCGCAAGAGCATATAACCCTTAAAATAAGATAATCGTGTGAGGAAAAAAAAACAAAAAAAGAACTAAAGAGAAAACAATGAAAAACTGTTTTTAAAATAAAGAGAAATTAATCATGAAAAGATAAAAACTTCTTTTTCAATTCGCATAGTGACAGAGATGCCAACTGCTCCGGACACGCAAAAATAATTTAAAAAACGGTAAGTAACTACAAAGTAAATTTTGCAAATATTTGACTATTTTTGCTTGCTTTTTAAAAGGACATACGAACTATAAAGTGGTGAATTATATAAGCCTACTAATTACTTAGAAATAGTGGTGGATAAAAATCTACTAAATTGAATTTTTTAAACCAAGAGTTACAATTGATAAACTACCACTTTAAAATATATATTTGCTGTCCGGAGCAAGTTGGTATCTCTGCAGTAATATCNTTGCTTGCTTTTTAAAAGGACATACGAACTATAAAGTGGTGAATTATATAAGCCTACGAATTACTTAAAAATAGTGGTGGATAAAAATCTACTAAATTGAATTTTTTAAACCAAGAGTTACAATTGATAAACTACCACTTTGAAATATATGTTCGCTGTCCGGAGCAAGTTGGTATCTGTGCAGTAATATCCACAAAAATTTGCGTTCTGATGTTGTATTATTATTTTCGAAGCAATATACATCAATACAACAGTGTGAGGAGTACCAAAAAATTAAATTAATTATATTTGTTACCATAATTTAATTAGGTAAAAACAATACAAAAATTTGAAATTAAACATAAAAAAATAGGTAAATGGAGGAGAGCAATACAAAATAAATTCAACAATATCTTTCCTTAACTAAGTTGCCAAGTTATAAAATATGAATATAGAGTGGATAGAAAATTTTTTGAGTTATGTTTTCTTTGACGTGTCTAAGAAAGCGATTGTGTAAGAGTAAGTTGCTTGTGGAATTTTAATTATTTAAAAAATTAATCTTCCAATTTAATTTTTATTATTAAAAAGATCAAGTATTTTCTAGTATTCAAAATTACTATTTAGGATACTTAATTAATCAAGGTAATCATTCAAAAAAGAAAAGTTAAGAAATGTGAAATGCTATCTTGGAATACAAACTTCAAATAATATTTGATATATTCTAAAAAAAGTTTTTATTAGTGGAAAACCATAGATAATAATCATGTATTAAGGATAATGTAACCATTACTAATTTCAATTTACTTTCTTTACAGGAGAATTGAACTGACCTAACTGATGCAATAAATTATTTTTAAATTCTATTAATTTTTAAGTCAACTTTGAATGCTTTTTTTTAGAGGTAGGTACTTCATTTACGTCGCACTAGAGCTGCCCAATGGCCAACATCATTTTGATCTTCTGCGGAGGGGATGGCTCCCTGCTTTGGTAGCCCAGCTACTTACGCCCGAAGTCGAGCACTTTCAACACCTACTTCAACTTCTTTTGTACTCAGGTTGCTTCAAATGGAAATAACTATAAATCGTGAATAGGGGACCACCTACAATGTTTTATTTTGTCGTAGGCTAATAAGGCTAGGGGTGCGATTTATGACCAGGCATTCGACTTCTGCCACACCCATACATCACTCCCGTTTATAGGGTGGACGCAATATCCAATTCAGTACCCCCAGAAGTATTTTTTTATTACAGCAGCCAACTCAATTAATGGGTTTACGACTACTAATGTTAAACTCCGTAGCCTTGTAATTTTGAACTCAATCCAGAAGATAAGGGGGAACTCCTGGATCAAGTATAGGGAGAAATTTACCTTCGTGGAGGACTTTTGATAGAACTAACCCACATTTGAATTACATGGAGAGGAAGACCACGAGAACCTCTCACAGCTAGCCTGACGGCAGGGGATTAGCAAGTCGGTGCGAGCCAGATACGGAATTCATATTTTGTTTTTAATCAACCAATTTATTTAAGATGTTACAATAATTCGGTAAATGAATAATAAATTTTTGGTAAATGCTGCTACAATAACGGAATTTATAATGTAAATAAATATTTAATCTCGTCGTAAAATAAATGCAGCGAGAACAGCAGCCCTTAAGACAAATTATTTATAAACGAAACTTTTATGAAATGGCAACAACTTGGATGAAAGCGCGTATTTCTGAAATGTAAATACAGCTGATTTCAATTGTATAAGTTCTAAAATCCTAAATTTTTGTTCGATATTATTCAGATCTTGAATTTTTTTTTGTATTTAAGGAGATAGAATTGAACAATCAAGAAGTGATAATTATATTTCTAGCCTATCAGAAATTATAATGACGTCTTACTCATAATTTTTAAGAAATGTCTTAAAAATTATGTTGCGTTATTTGTTTACTATTTGAAAATTACACTCCAACTCACTTTGAGAGTATGTTAATTTATATATATAAAAAAAGAAAGTTAAATTATGGGTAGCTTTATGTGACTTATATAATTTTGAGTGAAAAGGGCTGGCGGCGGTCTGTCTATAACTGTCTTATTGTAAATTCTTCTGATATTCGGTTTTCATTGTTCCTGAAAATAAAAGCGTAAACTCAAGGATGTGTTCCTAATATCTTGTTTAGTACAAAGTTTGAAAGTTTATTTTCTATTATTTAGAAGTTGTTTTTGCACATAGCATTTTTGGATTTCTATTTTTTTTTTACCAAGCTCATCCCTGGGGTATAGATCAATATAAAGATTTATGGAAATTAAAGCATTCTAAACAAAATCCGTGATTTTTAAACAAATTTGGCCAAAATTAGGTGGCAATGAAAGGGTTGAAACTAGGTTGAGATTTTCACATTGTCTTCTGTGGCAGAATAATCGCCAAGTTGTAGAAATTTCCGGGCAGTGGCCTGTGAGAAACTAGAAAAAAAAAAAAAAAAACTTCACAGAAAGGGACCAATTTAATAGGTATAACTCGCATAACGTCTACATTTAGAAAAAAAAATCGCAAGTCAAAAATCTATTTGGTACCTTGGTGATTGTATTTGGAGCAACAGATCATGATGCAGAAATATCCGAGAAACTAGTTACAAGAGTTAATCAATTGCTTGCAATTTTTTTTTTTTTTTTTTTGAGATTTTGTGTTTGCAAAATAGTATTTATTTTATTTAGGTCTGTATATAACCCCTTGTTACGTAATCCTCTCCCTATATTAGATTTATTTCAAGTAAAAAGAACTGTATAGCAAAACATTACTTATCAAAAAATGTATCAAACAATAGTAGTTTGATATTTCCTGATAGGGTTCATGTAATTTAGAATTATTTATTAAAATAAAATAAGAATTATGTCATCTTTACTATTATTTACCGACATTTATTAGATATAAAAATATTTTTATCCCTTTTGCAGCATATGAGGAAAATTTACTTTTAAGTAATAAAAAACAGATAGGTACAATCTCAAAATATTATGTCAGTAAATTTTTGTTCTTTGTCATTATTACTGAAAAGGAATGTAGTGTTCAAAAAATTTTCATTATTTTCTTTTCTTAAATTTTTAATATGCATACAATTTTTTGTATTATTTTGAAGTGTATGAAGTTTCAATGTACGTAGCAATACCTATCTGGTAGCAAACAGTTAATGGCTAAAATCCACTTATATTGTATTAGAAATTTTTAAATTATATTTAATAAACTTTGAGAAAAGAAACTACTTTAAAATTTCAAAATGTTTAGCTGTTCAAGTATAATATTCACTAAAAGTGTTATTTTGTGTGCTGTCAGAGACGGTAATGTAATGGTCCTTTGTTTGGGATCTAGCTTCCTAATTTCCTTTAAAATCTGTCTTCATTTGTTTTCTTTTTTTCTCTTGCCACCCAGGGCCCAAAAGAGAGAAACATGCATTCATTTTTAATAATAGCATATAAACAAGAAACGTGTTTGGTTCTTTGTTACCAAAATTTATTTATAGTTGACAAAGTCATTGTAATGTGGTAAAAATGAAGGTTAAAAAAATTATTTTTTGTGAAGAATTTTGCTATTTTTTTCATGCTTTTAAATTCCTTTTTATTGAACCATGTATTTTATTTTTATTTTCAAGATGAAGCTATGAAATGGCATCTGATAATATTCATGTTTCTGCAGTAAGTTTTGAATTTTTTAACATTGTTATGTACTCTTTGATAAGTTAATGTAATTTTTAGGAAGTAAAATAAATTTTTTTTTAAAAAAATTGCATTCAATTTTTGTAAAAGAATCATTAAATGGCTATATCCAGCATTACAGATTTCATTTAAAGTTATTAAATAAAATCTTTAATTAGACTGTTTTAGGAAATTAAAATTTATAGATTTTTAAAAAAAAGAAACTAATGCAGGGATCTGTCTAGGTTTTTATAAGGAAAGGTACCGGTTTTGTTAAAATTTTGACATAATTTGTGAAAATTTAAAATTATTTTTAAAAATCAACTCAAAAATATTGTAAAGTAAGAAGATATGTTCAAAAATTGTCACTGCAAATAAAAATCACTAGTAAATTTCTATATATTTTCTCCTAATATATTCAAGGAAATTTTTGTTATTGCAAAATTTTGGGCTTAAAATTGTATCCAAATTTAAAAATCCTTGTCCATTGTTAAATTTTAACTTGAATTAAAAAAAAAAAAGCATGCATTAACAGTACTTGCACTGAAAGTTATTTTCATTATGAGAACATATCCCACGGGATCATATAGAAAAAAGTTTAACAGGCAAAAAAATGTTTCATACAAAAATAAAGGTCTGTTAGAATAAATTTAGAACAATGTAAGAATGTGTAGAATAATGTTTTTCAATAACGAATTTCAACTTCCTGTCGTTTAATTGCAAATAACTCTGCGAAAAGAAGTTGCTAAATATGGCTCAAATAACCGTTTAGGCTTACCATACCTCACTATCTGACCAAGTACATGCTACCTATTTGTTATGTGGAATTAACCAGGAATTTATCGTTTCTTATGGGGATACAAAAACAAAATTTTAAGAGACTGGGAAGAGAATCTTAGAACTTGTTTATTTTTAAGAAGTATTTTGTAAAACTACCGTTTTTTCTAAAGTTGAATTTGTGAAGGTATCGCTAAACGGTAGTAAATATGCCCTGGACAGACCCCTGTAATGTAATCAATAACTAAGAGCCCTTTCCCTGTTGATCAAACTCAGCTGGGTTTGGAAAGACAGATTGGGAAAGTTTTAAATATCCCTTTAATCCTTTTTATTTAATTTGCCTAAATAAACTGATGGTGAATTTTGAATCACTTCTGCATGATCTTTTGACACAAACCTGCAAAATACAAAGCCATCGCCATAATCCCTATTAGATTTTGAGTTATAAAGTATGTTATGTTTTAGATTCTCTTCCAATTTTTCTCACAAAATTTTTCCATTCTAGTTTTGTAATCAGCAGTTTTTGAAAGGTAGTTGAATAATATGTCTGTTTTTACATTTTTTGATTAACACCTTTGTTTTTATGCAATTTACATTATAAGAAATTTTAACATCATCGAAATCCGTTTAAACCTTCATAAAATAAAATTTTAAAACATATGAAAACTGACCCCTGTTGATTTAAATTTCTAACCCAAGGTCATGAATCACATATTTTCATTACTTTAAAGTTTTGTGGAAAAACTCATTTCTTCTAATTTGGAAAAAGTACCTCCTATTGCACCCTTTGAAAAATATTGTACTGTTGAATAATATGGGCCTTTTAACTAGCATGTTATAAATTTTTTAGATTTCGATCATGCATTTTTAAACGAACAAACTTTTTATTTCTAGTTGGGATTAAGGATTATTATTATCTTAAATCTAATGATTATATTTATCTTAACATTTATCAGTGAAATTGAAGGTGCACTAAGCTTATTTGTACTAAGGTGCTTAGGAAGTTAATTAAAAACTTTGTTTTTTATTTTGTAGAAGATAATTCAATGATGAATATATGTTTTAATTACTTACATGATATATTTAATTATAGTTAGTACGTCAGCTAGAAGAACTGAAGAAGAAGAAAGCTCGTAATATCAAGAAGCTAAAGGTACTTTTTATTCTTATAAGAAATTAAAGCTACTTCAACATGAGTTTGTCATTCACAGTGCCATATTGCGTAACATTTCTGAAATTTTTTTTTTACTTATTGTTTTTAAAGTTTTAACTAAAGATGGATTGATAATTTTTTTTAATTCATTTTAAACTGAAATAAANTGCTGAAACATCGGTATTAGAGCCATACTCATTGGATGCGATTTTTTTCACATGCGTATGGAAACCTATTTGAAAGTGTTTCGCCAGTAAATATTTTCCACCAATCTGGTTTTCATTCGCATGCCAAAAAATCGTAGATAGTGAGATATCTTAGGCTTTATTTCATTTATCGTTATATTGCAAGTGTTTTTTTTATATCGACGGCTTAATTCAAAAGATATAGGCATTTTATCATCCGTTTCATCCTTGCTATCAACATCCTACTAGTAAGAATATTTGGTTCGAATCTAGAAGGTTTTTTTTTTCTTTCAACATTAGTAGCGTGGAAAGCTTCTTTCCTCTTTTCCTGTCGCTTTGCAGAAAAAAATCTCTGACATCGCAAGATATTGTCATTTTCCATCTTATTTCTTCTTCGGAATGCCGCCTTGAAAAATAAGTTCAAAAATTTTTTTTTAATTATTGTTGCTTCACAAGAACAACAAATAACCTTTTCGCTAGACATTATTTTTTTAAAAAAGAAAAAATCTTTTTACGCATGAAATTTTTCACATAAGTGCAAAAAATATAAAACGCTCTGTTCTCGCAAGAAAACACAAAAAGCAAATTACTGCGCCAGCGATGAAGGCCGAAGTTGGCAAATGTCCCAAAAATAGCTTAATAAAGGGGAAAAATTTTTTCCCCTTTTATATCCAGTTACTGTTTGTGTTGGAGACGGACTAGGAAGATTAACGGAGGATCGCGAGTGCTTTCCCCTTCCACGGTACGCTAGAAAAACAGTTATTTAAAAACAATTCTGTAAGAAAATAATTTTGCAGAACCATTATTGCTTCTGCAGAAATTTTCTGTTTCTGTCGGAATTATTTTTTTGTAAAACAGTTTCTTTTTCTGCAGAATCCTTTTTGAGAACTTTTGTTTTTGCCAAACCAAAAAATTTTATTTCCCAAATAAGAAAATCTTTCTGCAAGAACTCAGTCCCTTTCTGCGACAATGTCGCTGTGTCGCCGTGTTTCTGCCACGGGGAATGGAGCAATTCCAAATTTTAATTTATAAGCTGATATAGATTTAGTTTCGAACTATTAATTTTAGATACTTTTATTTCCGTAATGCAAGTTGTCTAGAAAATGTTGCAACAATTTTTTAGGATTATAGGTATTTTATAAAGAGGGCAGGGTATTTAATAAAGATTGGGAATTGCATAACAGGCCATGACTAAAAACATTGTGGTGTGTGTAGGGGGGGGGGTAAGTGATACTAGCTGGCATAATGTGTACAAATGGTGTACTGGTTCACAGTACTAGAACAGATTTGTTAGTGTTTGCACCACTTGATACTGTGCATGTCCAACACCAATGGTGGGGTATTGATTGTAGCACACTTAGTTTCTGTGATTCTAAAAACACAGACATGTCTTTTCAGGAGATCCATTTATCATGCTATTGATTAGTATCACTATGTACTTTAAGGGTTCCCTTCCCTATGAAAAGTAATACAGGCCTGATGAAGGGTGATCATGAAGGACAACTAACAGCACCCACACAGTATTGCTAGATGCACAATAATGGGATAGTGCCTAGCAGGGTTGACTTGATTTAAATTACGCAGATTTTTTTGAATCATTGATTTGATTGAATTTGAGTTGAAGTTATTTGATAAAGTTTTTTATTGAATCATTGATTTGAATCGATTGTTTTTTTATTTACAAAAATCCTTTATTTAAGTCAAATTTTTTATTTTTTGATTTGAATAATTTATAAATACAGTGAAACCTCTGGGTAACGACCACTCTCTGGTACAGAATTCTTTCCATAGACTTTGTGTTGAAGAAAATCTTTTGGAGGGATCATTAAAACCTCACCCAGCGACCGGACATAAACCTGCACCAAATGCGGAAAAGGAAAAATAAGGAAACACGAAAAAATATCAAAACAAAAAATTTATCAAAACAAATTAGTAGATTAAAACATATTCTAAATATTTGTGAAAAACTCTTGTTTAGAGAATTCTTTTTGACCATACAATCTCCACAGTCAGAGTGCACTAAAGACGATGCTATCAATGGTATACTTTTAGAGCTGAAAGTTTAATTAGGAAAAAAAAGCTATTTTAGAAAAAGCAAGCATCTCAAACAAACCTCTTCTCATCTTTTAAAGCTAACTAATTTTTATGATATAAAATGAAAAGCAAACTTACACAAAAAACATAACTGTTTATTTATTTATAATAGCTTTATCATTTATAATTGGTAAATTTGTTTTTGCACATAATTATATCAGTAGGAATCGTTTTTACAGATGCTAAATTTAATTCATGGATCTGTCTTTTCATGACACCAACAGAAGTGGCATTTTCGCATCAAGGGAATGACACTGACTAAAAATAAAATTGTTTCCAAAAAATCATGTACCTTCAATAACAATTTTAAAGTCAACGCATGTAACCTCTCAGAATGACCAACTATCAACGACCATTTTGATGTGAAACGAAGAGTGGTCACTCCCGAGAGGTTTTATTGTATTAAACTTGAATAAAAACATGTAGCTTTCGATGAAATTAATATATAAAAAAAGCTCAGATTACCGTATACAAAGGTATGATTCAAGTTCAATCACTAATGAACTTTTACTACTAGTGTATCAGAGAAAAGTAAAATTTTGCGGTTCAGATTTTTTAATGTGATTTAGTTGTTTGAAAATTGTGATTTAAAAAAAGCTAGTTAGCATGCAATTTGAAATGCCAGAAAAAGTTAACAATAGTAATATTGACATTAAAAAAATGTTTTTAATGTTCAAATCTGGAGGTGATTATTCATAGCTTCTCCCTTTAACTTCTAATTTAAATAAAATTGGTGATCAAACAAAACTGACTTTTGATTAGAATGAATTAAAATGATAAGATTTGTCAACATTAAAAATGACTAAAGAAAATATGAGTTTTTATGAAAATTCTTTTAGAAAAGTGTTTATATTTTTTTTATTATAAAATAGATATAAGGATTTTTATAGATCACTATAAAGATTAGACAGTGCATGCATATATTATTTTGTCAAAGTATGCTCCATAGTAGAATAAAAAAGTAAATAAATATTTAAAAAATGAGGTAATAAAAAGCAAAATAATTGATTTTTTCTAAAAATTTCTATTTTTATTTCAGCAACATTTATTTAAAAGTAAAAATCTATAATTTTTTTTTTTGAAAAAAGAGATAGGCCATGGCCAACCCAGCCTCCTCCATAGGCATGTCTTTAGCAATGCTATATTTTTACTCTTTTTCTTTTATAATATTCAATCAAACTATCTAACCATATCCTAGATATTTACTTATTTATTACTTTTTTTTACAGCGCAAATCTGGAAAAATTGAAGTTTTGAATGACAGGAAAGTTTTTGGTGAATTGAATCTTGAGCACCAATTTTTAAATCCAATACAATCTGTTAGAAATGAAATAAAATATTTTAAAGATGGTGTTCTCTGTCTGGAGAAAAATGAAACTGATTCCGATAACTCTAAACAATCACCAAACAGGTCAGAATGTCCTGGGGAAGATTCAGAGCCAAATCAAAAAAGATTGTCAGGTGATCATCAGATCATTGGCCACTCTGAATATGAAAATTATAGCAGGGTGGATTCAGAGCATGACCGGTTAGTTGGCCGTAAGAGATCAGCAACTGATTTCCAAAATGATGAAACTATTAGCCATTCTAAAAAGACTAAAATAATTGAAAATGAACTTTCTGAAGCTTCTAAAGAACAGCGTACAAGTTCAGAGGCAGTTGAATTTTCCGTCCTTGAAAAGGAATGTATGTTCTCAAGACAATCAGAATGTCCAATACCTGACAATTGTGATAACAAAGATAGTGATATCTGTAAAGTAATAATTAGTAACAGGACTGAGGTATCAAATCTCTTACCAACATCAAATTCAGAAGACTTACCTTTAGAAGATAAGGTAGTGTTTGAAAATTTAAAAGACAACACCTGCAGTAATAGCTATATTACGAAGAATGTAGTTCCAGTGGATACTGATTTCAGTCAAAATGTGTTTGTTGAGGAAAATGATGGAGCAGAAAAAAGCCCCATCAAAGCAGTCATTATTCAAAAACGAACATTGAATGAAGGCAGTAATGATTTGAATTCATGTAACAATGTTATCATTCCTGTTCAGTGTGATTCGAATGTAATAGAAGTGGCAGATACTGAGATAATGATTGCTCATCAATCTCAAGATGATATCATTTGTCACAATAAAAATTGTGAGCCTCTGGAAAAATTGGATGAGATTGATGATCAGGAAGTAAAAAATAAAGGAACCACAGTAATTGAAATAGCAGAAACGGAAGAGATGGTGAACAAAGATTTCCCTACAGATGTGGGTGGTTTTGAAGAGGTGGCAACAGAAGAACCTACTTCAGCTCCCTTACTGCCCCAGACGTTGAGACATCCATCCATTAACTGCACTTTCACTGATGAAGAAGATGAAACCGCTGATCTTGAAAACAGTCTTGATGTAGACAAGCTGCTGGAAGAGTCTGACTGTGATGAGTTAGATATTGAAAAAGAGAACTTCTGTCACTCAGATTTAGATGAGAAGGAGATTGAAGAAGAGAACCTTTGTCAGTCGGATTTAGAGAATGAAAACCTATCTCAGTTTGCAGTGAGTGATTCTGAAGTTAGCAGCCCTTTCTCGAAACGAAAGAAATCAAATTATCTTTATAATGACGTCGATAAAGTTACAAAAATGGCTCCCTACAATGTTATCGACGTTTCTGCCGAATCTGAAATATTAACCATTCCAGAAACTGAATGGTTTGATTTTGCAAGCTACAGCAACAAAGTCGAGGACATTGCCGAAAATGTTTCCATCGAAACCGATTATGCCGATAACTGTGACAAAGCCGTGACAGTTGATAATTGCCATAACAATTGCATTGAAACTGATTGCAATGTTAACTCCAATAGTGAGCCAGTCTATTTCATAGCAAAAATTGATAAGGGTGCTGTTGCAAACGATAGAGCTATTGATAGCCATACAGATTCAGTACGTAGTATCATCCAAGTCAAACATGATAATAAAGGTATTTGCATTGGAATTGAGGGTACAGCGATTTCAGACTGCAGGGAAGAGTCAGACTGTTTCAAAGCAGATGAGAGTGCCCTCGGCCTTAATAATTGCCTTACAACTGGAAATTGTCATAAAGAGACTGAAATCAGCAATAATAATTTGCCTGTAAATAATTGCGATTCTGAGCAAAATTTTGAAGAAGCAAAAAATGGTGAGCAACTTTCTTCTCAACATGAGTTTGAAACAGACTCTTTTGGAACTGAGGATTTTCTAAAATTTGTCAACTTGCAGCAAATGCCATTCAGTTCTGATAGTTCAAAATCCAGTGGTCAGAGTGACAAAGTTGTAGATAGCCTAGAATCGAGTCTCAAGTTTCAGTGCTGCTTTCAGGTAAATATTGCTCGTTTGTTGTGTCTAACAGTTTTATCACTGTATATAATAACAAAGATTTAAAAGTGTCTTGTGTTACAGCCAGTTATCCCCGGGAGGATGCCTGGCTCCTCAATGAATGTCAGACCCCAAATTACCTCCAACATATGCTGCTGAAAAATGCTATAGTTATCATTGGAAATATAACACTTCTGAGCTTTTTAGACATTGACCATTTATTATTTAAAACTTTTTACCATTCTTTCAGTAATAAACGTTTCACAAAACATGATAATGTTTACTTGTCTGATAATTTATAATAAATCATAAATCATTAAATTATATTTGATTTGATTTTTTGCAATGCAAACATGAATGTCTGTACTAATTTGTATTTATTTATATATAAATATTTATATAATATTTTATTTTCTTGCTGTTATTGATCACTAATCAGTAAAAAAAGGAAAGCATTGTCAATTTTCATACAGTTGGCTTTTTAATAATTAGGCATTTTCTGTATTCCTGTGAACATACAAAAAGTGAAGAGCACTCTGTTACAAATGTCAAAAATTTGTGTTAGCAGCGAGCACTTGGAAGAAGAAAGTGTGTTCAAACTAAAATTTACACATTTTTTAAATAAATATATATGTTTATTCATTTTTCTTTTATATACTAAATATTTTTGTTACATTTTTTTAATTATAATTTTTTTATTAATTGTTAGTTTTTAAGTTCATTACTTCTTTATTACTTTTCAAACATTAAGTCAATATTAGATATTTTATGCTGACTTGCATTCATTCCCCCCCTCCCCGTGGCAGAATCGCAACAACACGACGACATTGTTGTAGAACGTTACAGAGTTCTTGCAGAATGATTTTTCTTTAGAAAAGTGAAAATAATTACTTTTCTTCAGAAGGTTACTCGTAATATTTGAATCATGCCTTTAGGTAATCACTTTTTGACTCGCTAAATTTATGCCAATAGTATCGTGAATCAATGTATAATGTTCCGATTGCATTTTCTGCAGTTATTGATGTTCATGTGAATTTTAAATATCCCGTTATATTTCAAACAGTATCTAAAGTTCGAATCGTGCATTTGAGTATATACTTTAAGGCAATGATTCTATTGAATTTTATGCAGTTATTGCTATTCATTTCTCCATAGTTTTTAAACCCGATATTTTTTATACTATATTATTTATTACAACAACCTAATCTCGAAACGAAACACCTATTTCAGAAGTCCAATTAGCGTGATTTTGTCGTCGATCTTTCCTTCGGCAATTACTACTATGGATTTCATGATTTTTAATTATTCTTTTTACTGTGATGATTATTTACAAAATACAAAGAAACAAATAATTTGTGCGCCCCCCAACAAAATGCGAGAATATCACCCATAATATTAGAATAAAAAATTGTTACATGTTCAATTAAAAAGAAAATTATATGTTTTTTTTTTTTTTGGTAAACACAGCACTTTTATAATTTTAAATTTGTAACATATATGTTTGTTATTATTGAAAGTATCTTGCAAAAAGATATTAGTGCTGGAGAGTTTTGTCGCAGATAGCTCGAAAAAATTCTGCCACAGGGCATTTCCTCATATCTATCATTCACAATGAATAAATAGTCCCATGAGAAACAATCCATTAGAAGTTCTTCCTATTATATTTATATATTGCATGCCACTAAATTCCAACCCAACTAATCCTAATAAAAAAACTAGAACAACTCTTTTTGAAGGGACACACTGATCCTTTAAATACATTTTTCAGAGTGAGAACATAAATGAAGAAGTGTCCCAATTGAAAGTGTGTTACTTTAACAGCAGTCATTATCTTTTCATTCAACATCAGACATGGATTCAAGTGTGGAAACAAGAAGATGATTCAGATTGGATGAAAATATTTGCTCATCAGGTCGATGTAGGAGTTCTTTTTTTTTGTTGCTCTGTTCATTCTTGTTTATGAAATTGGAAATAATATTTTTATAATTAAATAATATGTTCCTATCACACAATTTTCAACATTTTGTTTTAGTAGTTCTCTGAGGAATTAGTATATATTTCTCTGTCGTATGATTTTTGTTTATATAGCAGTTTGCTTATGATGTATTGTTTATTTATTACTCGACCTGCCCTATTTAAGGGCATACGAGTGTAGATTCATAAAACATATATTATACACACATAAAACATCAGAAATTGTATAAAATCACAGATGTCAGTGGCAACAGCCCGACAGAGAAAATACAACATTACAAGTAACAACAGAAAAAAAGGTATAACATCAATGACATCTGCCAAAACTGAGCCATTATAAAAAATAAATAAATAAATAGATAAAAGTCCAATACGGTCCCTTACGCAATTAAAAAAATCAAAAGAATACAATACAAAAAATTTAAAATCTCAAGAAGGAACGATAAAAATGGTCCCAAAGTTAAAAACAAACATAATAACATCACACACTAGTACAAAGGACTAAGTAGTTAAAATCATGACCTATAACCGGGCCAAAACAAATTAAAAAAAAAAAAAACAATAATTAAAAATTTAAAAACAGAAAAAGGTTGTAAGCCCAAGAGCAACCATCCAGTAGTTAAGCTCAAAGTCTAAAATTGGTAAATTTATGAAAATAAATAATAAAATAGTAAAACGTGATACGGTTGAGACACCCAGATTAGAGGTCGTGGATTCTGAATTATTATTAGACTTCCTCTAGAAGTCTAATAATAATAATAAGTCCAATGTTTGTTTAATGATGGATTTAATTATACCCCTGCAGGTCGAGCTTGAAAAGCATTGGACTTGATCTAAATTTTGAAAATGATTTTCACGGAGTGTTCGGAATCTTGGGCAATGCAAAATTAAGTGGTCAACATTTTGAAATTCATCACAATAATTGCATGCCGGGGATTTGTTAAAGAGTCTACTTTGATGGTCACCGAACACTCCATGGCCCGTTAAAAATTGGTTAAAATAGAAGTTTGCCTGCAGTCTATTATGTTTTGGGTCTTTTATGAATTTATAAACCTGTCTACCTTTTTCAGAATCCCGCCAGTCTTGTTTCCATCTCTTATTTGTGTAATCTTTGACCATTGTTTTAACTTGGGCGATGGTGCTCTGGGACTCAATAGTAATACTACCGAGACTGATGGCATCCTTTGCAACTCTATACGCCTCCTCGTTGCCATCTATTCCTATGTGGGCCTTTACCCAATTGAGTTTGATATTGTTTTGCCAGAGTTCTTTGGTTTTTTCAACAAAAAGGGACACAGGTTTTGGATTATTTAAAGCTTGCAACGAGGAGAGCGAATCGGAGTATATTGTCGCATTGGGATAGTTATTTATTGCAGGCCAATTTCGGGCAGTTTTAAGCGCCATCAGCTCGGCTTTATACACACTGCTGTTATTGCTCATTCTGATGGAGGTCGCATCAATTGTTTTACCGTTATTCCTAACAACAACACCTAGTCCTGTCCTTTGTTCAGATATGTTATTAGTATCCTCGGCAACCTCCATTGTTTATGATGTATATGTTGAACCAATTATAGCTGTACTCATGAGATACTTTTTATAGAACAGCATTTCTTTGAAACATCAACAAAGTTAAAATAATTTGCAATTTCCATAAAGGGTTAGTATACACCTTAAAATACAAAATCCAATCTCAATAAAAAACTACTAACTCGCAGACGTTCAAGAATTGTCTGCTTTTTTTCGTGATCTTGTACTGTTTTTCTATTAATACTTGTGTTTGCTGGATATATTTAAGACTCTATAATGTTTACAATGTTTTGATTCTTATTGTATAATATTTGATGAGGCCTTATATAGAATTATTTGCAAGGCCAAATATCATGTAACTGGTTGTAAATTTTTTTAAAAACTAAAATGTAAATACAGCAATTTTTATTAATTATAATAGTTTAATATAATAAATTCAAAAGATTTTTATCACCTTTGCTCTAAATCAACATGTAATAACAAACTTTATCTATTACACATTTTGTCTACTATTTTGTTTTGTAGGTTTAAAAAAATGTTTGCTATTGTCTTTAGATTAAGAAAAAAAAAACTTTTAATTAAAAAATATGGTTTTTGAAACTTTAAAACATTTTTTATTAACTATTTTAAAATTCTTTCACTTCTAAAAAATAATTTTATTTTATCTTTATGTATTGTATTTCATTTGAAGCATGTATTTCTCACACTCTATAACACTAGGGTATTTAGTGTATAAATTTATGCCTTTGAGAAAGAAAGTTTCATTACATTTGTTACATAAAAATAAAATAATACAGCAAAAATAAAAAAAAAATTAATGTGCAAAAATTATGTTGGGATTTTTTATTTGATTTATTTTACACTTGTGAAATTCAAATACAAATATTATACAGTGAAACGTCTTGAGAGCGACCACTCTCTATTCCACAGTCAATTGGTCGTTCCTAGGGGTTACCCTCGTTGACTTAAATGTTATCAAAGGTACATGTTTTTCCCCCAAGTAGTTTTAATTTTTCTTATTGTCATTTTCTTAGTGCAGAAATGCCACTTGTGATGGGGCCATGACAACCGGATCGATGAATAAAATTGAGCCTCAATAAGAATTACCTTTACTGATATAATTATGTATAAAAACAGCCAATGAATGATTGTACCAATCGTGAATGATAAAACTATTTTAAATAAGTAAACAATTATATTTTTTTTTCATTTTTATTTAAGTTAGCATAGAAATTATTTAGCTTTTAAAAAGGAGAAGAGGTTTGCTCGTTTGAAATGCATAATTTTTTCGAAAAAAAAACTTTTGTTTTCTAATTAAACTTTCAATTCTAAAAGTAAATCATTGATAGCATCGTCTTTAGTGCACTCTGACTTGAGGCTGTCGATCTCTGAGAGATCGTCTAAAGGAGCTCTCTAAATAAGAGCCACTTATTAATATTTTGAATCTACTTATTTGTTTTATTAATATTTTTTGTTTTGATATTTTTTCGTGTTACCTTATTTGACCTTTTCTGCATTTGGTGTAAAGTTATGCCCGGTCTCTGGGGTAGGTTTTGATGGTCTCTCCTAAAGGTTTTTATCAACGCAAAGTCTATGGAAAAAATTCAGTGTATCCCAAAAGTGGTTGCAATTAGAGGAGGTCGCTATACGGAGGTGGTCTTTTTCTGGAAATTCTGGAATATACTTAATTAAGGAAAAGATAAGATGAAATTTAAAAAAAAAAAAAAGATTGAATAAAATGAAATGAAAATAAAGGAAAGAAAAGGAAAATGAAGAAAAATAAAGTTAAGAAAAATAAAATAAGATAAAGTAAAGAAACAAACTATCTAAATCAAGTTTTTACTTGTATTTAACATCGTTAAAACAAGTGTTTTAAACATGATATTAATATTTGATTTTGTCCTTTGTTTATTTTATTGAATTTAGGATCTTCAGTTTAAGGAATTGTGTCTTTCTCAGAGTGAAAGTTATTTAGTGTTGGTTATGCTGTTAAATTCAAAACAAAGTAAACAATGTCTTCAATTTTTGGTGTTTGAGAGAGAAAGTAGATTGATCAAATTGATGGAACACACTCACTGGTTTGAAAATAGGTAATACTTTATTTATTTAAAAAAGGAACTTTTGGCAACAAATTTGTTGCCTTCTTTTTCCATATCATGTTTTTCTTTGCCTAATTTATTGAAATAAAAATATGACAAAATAGACTGCCCAAAGTAGTAAACATTTGCAACTTAAAGTAAAAAAGATAAAAAGAAAGTTCTTTCTTAGATTGTTTGACGAATTTTCATGAATGTTGCATATGTTATCGCGAAAGCTCAAAAACCCTTAACATGCACATTACGTATTTAATGTGCAGATTTAATTTAAGGTAAATCATTAAAGTCCTTAAACGTTTCTCATAATTTACCTAGGCAATTGGCATATTAACAGCTTCAATGGTTAAGTTCAAAACTTTGTTTCTCTCATTCTACGAAATAATTTATTGATGCTTGATTGCATTTATTGACCCTTGAGTTTTAGAAAAATTAATAAATGACATTCTGGTAATTCCCTTGATTGTAATATTTCAAACCGTTTGATTCTTTGTATTATAGTTTTGAAAGGGATTGATTCTATCAATTAGTGTGTTGATTGTTTAATTGTAATAGATTGATTGTTTAAATAACAAAAAGTTAATAAAAAACATTGTGTTAATTTAAGCATACAGAAATGTTGCTGTTGTTCTAGCAAAGATCTCATCTTCACTTTAACAAGTGCTTAGTAGGTTTTGTGCAAAACATCTTGGTAATTTAGACTACTTAGATAATCTAAGAAATGAAATAATTTTTTGGCACTTTGATGGAGCCCCCTAGCACATGAATTTAGATAATCTGTGGAACAACTGTTATTGATTTGTAAGAACTGTTGCTTTAGGTTTAAATAAACCAGATTTAAAATAATTCACTATCTGTTAAAAAATTTATATGCATTTATTAAAAATTTAATGTCTATGCTTTCTTAATTGATTCTCTACGGTAGAATTTAAACTAGGGTAAGTGAGTTTTACTGAAAAAATTTATATTTTATCTTTATTCAAATCGATTTATATTTTTTATAATTTTTAACGCCCAATTCATTTTATTTTATAATCGGTGTTGAAGAGGCAGCTCAATTTTGAGTTTACGACTGGCCATGTTTATTTCCATAGCTTTGTAATTTTGAACCCGATCCAGAAGACAAGGAAACTCCTGGATCAAACATTGGGATAAACTAGCTTTCGTGGAAGACATTTTGATGGAGTTTACTCTTAATTGTAATACATGGAGAAGTAAATCACGAAAACTTCTTACAGTTAACTCAATAGCAAAGAGATTCGAAGTCATGATTTGTCTACCACTAACGATATTTTTATATCAGCACTGTTGTCAGTGCGAGCTAGGAGCAGAATTCGTATCAACCAGTCATTGCTAGGATTCAAACCTAGGTCACCTTATTGGGAGGCGCGTGCTCTGATGTCTAGGTCATTGAATTGTTTTGACCTTTATGTTATTCAAAAAAATTTTGTATTTATCTAAAATGAATTTGATATTAACTAACCATTCAAAAGTAAGAATTTAAGAGTATGGTATATAACGCAGTCGACCTTTCAAACCCCTTAAATGTTACAAAAACCAGAGTGTCAACTTATACACCAGCAATAAAGTCTAAAATTTGTTGATCTTAAAATATCGATGCGTTATGAACAATAAAATAGATGTGAATAAAGAAAAATTTATATTCAGAGAGAACAAAGTGCCAAACTAGAGAAAATAATGCTGACTTTTTTGTACTTTTTTGAAATATTTTTTTTAATTTTAAAAATTTTCATGTTTGGTTCTTTCAGCATTTATACACTCAATATGTCAGAAATTTGCTATCTTGTAATCTAAAATACTAATAGAATGAGTTGTCTTAAACAATATATAAGTTTTTTTAATATATAATAATAATAATAATATATAATAATAAAAGTTTTAATGTCATTGCAAACAGAAAATATTGCAGCCAACTTAAATTTGTAGCGTAATATATTTTATAATAATCTTTAAAATGTCCTGAATATTTTATTATGTATTACTTAATAGATTGTATAAAGTTTATCCTATTTTGCCTTTCGTAAAATTAACTGTTTTTTTCCCTTTAAAGTTCTCAGTTAAATAATTTATAAATACCTAATGTGACACTTCCTAATTTTTTTTAGATTGTTCAATTCTATTAATTTTAATAAAATAAGCAATTATCAGTTAATCAGCATTTTTTCAATCACTTTATATGTTTTTAAATAAAAAGTGCACATTATTTCAAATAGTAAAAGAAGTAGGACTATTTTATTGTTTTGTTAATATGTTCCATTTATTGTAATAATCTTTTTTTTTATTACATATTTTACTAAATCTCAAAATTTTTTTAAATTCTAAATTTGTGAATATTTTTCTTCTTTAAAATATCTTTTCCATGCTTTCTTTATATTTTTAACTTATTTTATGAGTTCTAAGTACTTGTAGCTTATGCACAGTAAATGAAACTTAATGTTAGTTTTCTTCGTTAATCTCTTTTCTTTTATCCTTCTGTATCTTTATTATGTCATATATACATACATATATATATTCAATTTTTATGCAGTGAAAATCAAGCTGTTTTCCTTTGTGGTTTGGAGGATTTAAAGTTTGCATCAGCTCAAGGTAATCAGGATGGATTTAAAGTGTACTCCCATTCCTTTAGTTGCTTAGAAGATAATCCCCGTCTTCTGACGACCAGTCTTGGATCTGCAGCAGATAGTCTGCACAGCCTCTGCAGAATAGACAAATTACCCAATGCTCTTCTTGGTGTGAGTAAGACCATGCTCTATGTGTGGTAAGTGAAATTTCTATATTATATATAGGCCCAAAAAGTTTTTCTTGGAAGGGCCAAAAAGGTTCTTGAGAGATAGGGAATTTTTTTAGTATTGTTTATTTTCAAAACTTGCAATTATATTTATTCCTAATCAATAATAGATTAATTATTTAACATTTTTGTAATATGCTTAAAAAAAGAAACCTTTAAGTAAACCTTAGCTATAAAATGATTACATACTCTGGTATGAATCACGAGTAAGAATTAAAAAAGATAACGTTATTGTGTAGAAAAGCATTCCCACGACATCCTGTTGTGCGTCTGGGAATTATCGATGTTAAGACTCCGTAATTTCTTAACCAACGTCATGATTGTGGCAATAAAGGATTTGCATTCAGCACAGACTGTCTTTACATCTAGACAAGTTGTCGTGGACTTGGAACCCCCTTTAAGACTGTAGCTTTATATCCTGCAGCCATATTAAAACATCTCATTGTAGAATAATAAAAAGTTATTAAAGGAACATGTGCTCAATCAGAATTCTTATGTGTAATGATGAGCTATGTATTTTATTTTATTTATTTCATAACTTTTTCTTTCATTTGCCTTACAGTTGTAATGAATTCCATGTTTCACTCCTTTAGGCACCTACTCGAAGCTCGCTTAGTGACATCAGTTCACGTACAAACAGAAAACTCTGCTAGCATTGAAGATTGTGTCTGGACTACTGTTGAAAATGTAAGTGTTTTTATTAAGCATTTTTCTTAAACAGAAAAAGTGTGCGTATTTAGAAGGAAACGCAACATACCTGTCTTAATTTCTGTATACATCTATTAAATTACATTCTATTTTCCGAAACACAACTAACAAAAATCTTTGCTACTTATGTTTATTTTGTACAAACATTTTAAGTGTTTTATATTTAAAACAATTTTGTAATGATCAATCAAAGTAGTCTTCTGAATATGGTGAATGGGGTAGAACTCACACATCCATCCCAAAATTAAAGTTGGTTGGTTATAATTTTTTTTAAATAAATTGAAATGATATATAGTATACTTGATTACTCGAGAACCCTGTTATGTCAAAAATTTACTTTTCCCCATGCCTTATATATCCACGTAACATTAATTTAAATTCCTGTGTCAAAGAATTTCTAGTCAAAATGTTATGTCGAATATTTTTCAAAGTAAAAAGGAATTTTTTTGGAAAAATCACTTCGTTCAGCCACTCAACATTACTGTGCCCCGCGAAAAAATGCTACCCACATAAACAAACGTTTCATAAAATGATCAGAGAACATGGAAGGCGATGACTGGGCAGCTATTTTGCGAATAGAAAAATTGATTGATGATGAATTTCAAAACAATGTCGACAGGCCCAAATGGTAAATTTTTAAAAATAAACTCTATCAATTTAAGTTTATTTTAAACGTATTCGTTTATATTTAATGCCTAATTATTTTTGTGTTGCTTTTAAAAACAAAATTATCATTGCTGCATTTGAACTTATTGTCAACTATTATACAAATATCTTTATTAGTTCTTTATCTGATGTTTCATGACTCTGCCTTTTATATTATTTAAGAATTTATTTTTTCACTTTTTAGAACATATTTGGTTCTGAACTTGTTATCTCAAAAACTGGTTACCTTGAAATTTTTTTAGCGTCCCTGTAACTTTGAGGTATAGAGAGTATGTTATGTATATATACATATATGCACACTTGTAATGTTTTGCACAATTATATGTAGGGACTAGTGTTTTTAATGGCCACTCACACGGAAGAAAAGGAAAGTTCTAAAGTTTGCCAGCTCCTTGCTGCCAATCTCGCTACTGGTTTCTGTGAAGTTGTTCAGGCATACACTCTTCAACCAGCCAAAGAAATCAGTTTGCTTTCCAACAGGTAATAAAACATTTTAACACAGAACTCTATAAAAGCAGCATTTTGAAACAGCATTTTCTTGCAAGTTAAAATTGTTCCTTTATTCATCAAATTAGAATGAAATAGATATTTATCATATGTATGCAGCACCACTGTGTTTATGGCTTTAAGTATAAAATTAAAAATAACTTTTTAAATAAAGTAATTTTATTATATTGGCAGTTATAATGGTGTGTTTGAAATTAGCAAAAGTATTATTTTTAATGATTCTCTCAGGAATAATCAGCCTGCAATTTTTAAATTAATAATTGTGCAAGCTATGGAGCAGTTGAAGGGCACTTCAAATTGCTTTAACCCTTTTTATAAAGCTTCATTTTTCTTCTTTCTATCAGGTGATTTTAAATGGATAGATTTTGTTGCATAATATTAAAATTAGATTTTGTTGCAATATTTTTAAGTATCTGCAAAATATTAAAAAAAAATTGTCTAAAACAAGATGAATGATAACATCTTGCTCATTGAAATCAATAAAATCCCCAGTTCCATGTCTTAGTGCAGGGATGGCGAACCAGTGGCACGCGACACAATATTTTGGGCACGCCTCCGATCACAAAGTTTACTATGAAGCATATTAACAATTCAATTAAAATTCACAAAAAAAGAACAATTAATGCCAAAAAAGCAATTAATAACCATAAAAAAACAAGCGAACAATAAATAACTAGAAAAAAAAATTAACAGTTCTGCTTAAACTAACATCTTATAACCCTAATATAAGTTATTTGTCATCTAATCTGCAACAACAGAAGTCACACTGATGTTACTTTAAGTTGAATTACGCGTATAACTGAGACATTGCAAAAGTTGAGAATTGCATTTTTTCGTAGTAAATAAAGAGTTTTGAGTTGATAGTATTTAGTATTATTATTTACCCAATAATCACGAAGTCAAAACTATTTGTCGGCACGTCTATGACCTCATTAAAATATATTTTAGAAAAATGGCACTTTGGTGCATGAAGGTTCGCCACCCCTGTCTTAGTGTGTTGGAGTTTCTTGCTTTTGTTTACTTACTAGACATGACTATTGACAGAAACTTATGTTGATAATCAAGAATTGACCTTGTTGTTCTCTGTGTCACCAGAGTGATATGACCTCCTCAAGAACTGCCCTTTCATTTTTGAATTTTTAGTGACAATCCTAAGGGCATAAGATAAAAAAAAATATATTATATACCTGATTTAACAAATTATCTCCTAGAACCTTTTTCGTCTAAGACGCTCCTACATTTATGTTTTTAACTTGTAATTCTATGTCTCACAAAGTTTTATTTCATAACATAGTATAAGAATATCTTTAATCTTTTTAAGGAAAATGAACTTAGTGTACTCTGAACCATTCCTTGCTGCCTCTACTGAAGATGGTGCTTTCATTTGGTTCATTGATGATGAATATTGCTGCGCATCTTTAATGTCACCCAATTATTCTTCCATAGCCATAGCTCCATCCAGGGGAGACTCTTTCCTGGTAGTTGTGGGTTGTAGTGGAGGATGTGTTAATTGCTATGAAATGAAATACGGCTGAGGAAAGTGTAAAATTTGAATCTGTGAAATTTTTGCCTCTGAACGCATGAGATGATAGGAATTTGCTCTTTGTTGATTTATTATTTAAAGTAAATGTATCAACAGTTGAACTGAAAACGTTAACATGTATACTAGAGTAAACCGAAATCTTTTATTAGTAGTGTGAAAAGTTATCACTATCATTGAAAAGTATGCCAAGTCTATATTGATATCTTCTGTTGCTTCAATAAGGCAAAAGTTGTGAAATTTTGTTAAAAAATGCTAAGAATTAAAAATGTTTAGATTTTGTTCATAAATTTGCACACTACTTAAAAGTTACTGTTTCTCAACAAAAAAATTTTAAGCAAAATTTCAGACTTCAAGTGAGATATGTATTTATTTAAAGATGTATTTAACAGAGATGCCAATTATTACAATTTATTGGTAATTATGATTTCATGGTCAAAATTATAGTCTTACAGTTGAATAAAAAAATATACGGCTTTTTGAAAATTTCCATAATAATTTGTTTAAAATAAGTTTATAACTGATATTAAATTAATTTTATTACGTAATTAAAGAATGCACCTATTAATTTAAAAAACAGAATGAACCCTCTATATTGAATATGTTTAAAATTGAACATAAAATGTTTTTATGGTGAGCAATAAATTTAGGCATAGTTCTTTGCCAGAAACTAGTTATTTTATCAGAATTATATAAAGTCTATGAAAATGTTTTTATGATGTTTTCTTAATTTTATATATATGAAGAACTTTCAACTAAAGGATTAAATTTTTTTGCTACCCTAATTAAGATTTAAAAAAATTTTTTAAAAAAAATATTTGAATGCTTATTTTTTGTTGAAACATTTGTATAAATACTGTTGTATACTACAACCTGTATAAATACTGTTGTACAGAAATGCTTCATCTCAACTTTTGACCCATTGAGGCATTCAGAGTTATAGGTTTTGTATACATCCTAAGAATGGTAGTTAACAAAATTCTTTTGCACTAATTATAAATTTGAAATTTAAGCCCATTTCTATTACAAATCTCAATAGTTACAAAGTATCTCAATAAACAAAATCAGATCAGAAAAAAAAATAAAGCAAAAATATGTTTAATATCCTGCGTAATTCAATTGTAGCTATTGAAAAAATAATACAAGTGAGTGGTGGTAACTCTAATCTGATACAACTGACGAAAAAATGTGACCTTTAAGAAGTTTTACTTATTAAAAGTTTTGTTTTTCAACTCTCAACAGTATTTTTAAAAGCATGTTCATGCATTTATGTCATTTAAGAAGAGTACAAAGCCTTTTTAACTAAATCGAGCCCCAAAAAAATTTCATTTATGGTCCACAATGAATTTATTGTGTATAGCAATTGATCATTTCATTGATAAGAACAATTTCAAGTTTTTAAGAAATTAAAAAACAGTACAACAAATTATGCATAATATTTATGTAATGACTATGATATTTTTGACTGAAGTTAAATATGCTTCTTTAATGAAATTAAAATGAGTTTTTAAACTTTTTCAGTAGAGAAACTAATTTTATTACTGTACATAGAAGTATATTATTTTCACCTGTAATCATTTAAATACATCTTCAGTTGCATTTGTTATGAATAAGTTTTGGTAAAAGAGACTTTTCTATAACCTTGTCTTAAAAACTTTTTTTGCAAAAATTTATTTGAGACCTTAAAATAGTACCCAATATATTTTAGAACTATGTTATAATTTAGTGTTTAAAAAAAAAAAAGATCTATTCAAATTATATACGGTATACTCTGGACTTCTCAAAAACATTGTTATTTAAGAAAAAAAAAACTTTACCCTTTACATGCCCACCTAATATTAATTTGAATTCCTATGTTGTCGAAGAATTTCTTGTCATAACCTTATGTCAAATACTTTTCGAAGTAAAAAATGAATTTGTTCAAAAAAATCACTGTGTATCACCACTCAACATTACTGCGTCTCATGAAAAAAATGCTGCCCACATATTAAAACGTTTCAGGAACATGGAAAATGATAACTTGGCAGTTTTTTTTTCCAAATAGAAAAACTGATTGATAAGCGATTTCAAAAATGATTACGACAGGCCACGATGGTAGAGTTTTATTTAACAAACTCAATTATCGTTAGTTTATTGTAAACAAATTCTTTTATATTTAATGCCTAATTATTTTTGTGTTGCATTTAAAAACAAAATTATCATTCTTACATTTAGACTTATTGTCTACTATTATACTAATATCTTTATTAGTATTTATTTTGATGTTCCATGACTCTACATTTTAGTATACTATTTAAGAAATTTTTCTTTTTACATTTTAGAACATATTTGGTTCTGAGCTTGTTATAACGAAGACTCGCTATTTTTTTAGCGTCCCTTTAACTCAGAGATATCAAGAGTGTACTGTATATATTTTTAGAATTTCCAACCGAATGGCTGCACATTCGCAAATTTTTAAGGAATTACATAATCTTTTTTCTAGATTTCTATCACTTCATTTTTTTATCTTCAAAATTTTGGAACGCTTCCACTGCACAAATTTTAACAGCAATGTTTAGTTCATCAAGAATCAGTGGGCTTGAAATAGATGAGGTAAATTTGTATTTTTATATTGAAGTCTTTTCAAATTCTAATGCAATGCACTATTAATGCTGTTAATAGAAGAAATTTTTTTATTTATAAAAAATTAGATATTAGGAGTAAGAAATCTAATATAATTAATACAAAATTAAAAATGTTTGTTCTTATTTCCACACATTATTGAATACAGGTTTTAAATTCTTTCCAGTAAATAAATATTAAATTGTTTAATCAAGCCTTTCTAAATTTTCAATATATATAAAATGACTAACATTTATGTTATTTTTTTAAACACATGGATAGAGATTTGTTAATAAAGCTAATTTAAACTTACATAATTAGTAGTTCTGTTTATTATTATTGATACAAAAAGTTTGTTTCAAATTAAATTATCTTTAAGTTTTCATTTAATTACTCATTTATAATAATAGTTATAAAGACTTGAGCTTTTTAAGTAATTGGTAAAAGTTATATTTATCATAATCATTATTTCTAAATGTTTTATGATTGTTACTTTTATTGATTCTTTTTCATTGTAGCTATGTAAAATTTTTGTGAATGAAAGTATAAATAGAACATTCTCATATTTTTGTATATTCCAAAGATTTCTGTGTATATATTTCCATGTGGATTTGTTACTGCAAATAAAGTTTAGACAAAAATATAAGAGTTTTGAAATTGTATATATGAAGTACAACTTTGATGTTGTAATCTGTGAATTGCAAAAAAAAATTTCGAGTTAACCCTTAACAATCAAAAAGTATTTGAAGTTTACTTCATACTAGATCCAAGCTATTTTTTTATATAAAAGAAAGTTATGGTATTTTTAAATCTTGCCTATAAAAGAAACTAGGTATCAGAAATTTTATTAATTGTAAATATGGTGATATGATAAAATAATTTTTGCTGTCACATATTGGACCCATTAAACCATGCTGCTTATATGGCAACATTAGTATGTTAAGGAATTATTGAGTAATAAAGAGTAAGTAAGATGAATGCAATTAAAATAATCAGCGAAATTCAATGGACTAATTCTAAAGTAATTCATTTGCTATTCCAGTAAGAAAGAGATAAAGCTATTTGTTCCAGAGTTGTTTAATCACTCAAAAGGTTTACTAAATTTTAGTTTTGTACTCTTCCAAAAATATTATTTTTAAATATTCTTTCATCTTGATAGTTTGAATGATTAACAATGGTAGTGAATTTGTATGATCAGTAAGAAGAAGTAATGACTAGAATTAAACACTTCTATTTTACTTTATAACTGGAGTCAAACAGCCAACCCAATTTTGAGTTTTCAACCATCAAAGTTCAACTCAATAGGCTTGTAATTTTGAACCAAATCCAAAAGACAAAGGAACTCGTAGATTAAGCATTGGGACAATTTGATATAACCAACCCATATTTCCATTACACGGAGGAGGAAAACCACAAAAACTTTTATTGGTAAGCCAGACAGCACTTGAATTCTACCCATAAAAATCTGTCTACCATAGAGGATATTTTATGTCAACAATGTGATTGGTGCGAGCTGGGTGCAAAATTTTTTATCAACCAGCTACCACATTGGGAGGCGAATGCTCTATACCCTAAGCCACCATAGATCAAATTTGAGTAAGATAAAAAAGAAAGGAAGCATATTTTTATAGAATATTATCAGCGTTTTAATAAAAAATTTGTGCAATGCGAGATCAAAGTCAAGTTGGATGATGATCATGACACACGTGCTTCCATTTACAGTAGAGTAAATGAGTTTATATATGGTCATGGAAGTTATCTTCTCCTTAATGATCTACGGCAGTATTGTGTGTGACTGACAAATTAAAATGTATGAAATAGTTGAGGCCACAAGCATATCACAAACAGCGATTCTGCTATACAAGTAAACTATATGAATCCTTAGAAACTGGGACATTCAGAGCTCCCCTTTTTTTTAAAAAAAAAAACTTAAAAGCAGCTCTTTATTTCAAAGAATACAAATCTCTCCTGAAACCACCATAATTTTTTTAAATTTATTAAACATTCCGTTTCTTATAATTACTTTTTCTTTTTTGAAGTTTAATTTTGCCTAATCAAATTTGCTGATACCATTAATTGTTTTTGCTATGGAGAATTACATGTTCCAGTGGATGAATCACAAATTTTTTCATATTCCATTGACAATTTTTGGTCTATTTAATGCATTTAAACTGAGAAGGTACAGTAATTTGAACAAGTTGGAGGTAGGTAAGAAAAATTTCAGCAAGACAAGTGGCACGTTTGCTCTAGTAGGAAAATCCATAAGAGTGCATATAAATTTTTTTAATGCTGCAACATCCACAGTGTTTTAGTCTGGTGTACTGGTCAAACACGAAAAAATAGTTTAGAGGAATATGATTTACGTCGAATGAGGAAGCCATCACCCAAATATTTTGAGAACCTTTTGAAATCTATCCTTATTGCAGGTTTAAAAAAAAAGTACCTCAAAATGGAAATCCAAAAACGTTACATACCAAAGTTTTTTTAAGTAATTGATAAAGTACCTAAAATTTGAGGATGATATAAGAATTTGTTGGAAGCATATATCCATAAGAATATTATCAACATTTTGATAAAAGTCTGCACAATGTGAAAAGCGGGATTTTTGAATCTTGTAAATATGAATCCCAATATTAGATTTTTAAATCCTGCAAATATTAATCTAGTCGTGATGTGTAGATTAAAATCTCCTAAATCTCGATGTGTGATTTTAAATTGCATGAATATGAATCGTGATGTGAAGTTTTAAATTGTGTGAATACAAATTGGTGAACATGTCGCTTTAAATGGCGTTAATGTAATTTTAAGGCCTGCTGAATTCATACCATTTACAGAACTTTAATTTGATGACATTACATCTCTAGGTAGTAGTAGTGGTGACTCACTAAAAAAAATGCCAATATTGATGAAAAATGTCTTAATTTCATACGTATGTGTTAAATATCAAATAAAGAACTCTTTTTTGAGAATCTAATTTTGTTTCTTTAATTTGAAAATAAAATTTTTTTATACAGCTCCAAATATTAAACATATAAGTAACTCTTTATAAACTACAGATATAAGTACGATATGGCGACATTTATCATGTATATACAGGGAAACCAACATGTGCTAATGCTTTTCTGTAGTAATAAACATAATTCAGAAGTAAAGTGTGAAAAATAAAAATGTCCAATTATTTAACTAACAAATTACATTTAGTTTTGGATACTAAAGCATTTAGTTCAATGCATAAAAATTTTTGTTAAGATATTGATTGAAAAAAAAAATTTTTTTTTGCTTATTCTAAAGTCAATTAGAAAAATTTTATGCAATAATAAAATTGTTAAAATATTTAGATTTCATGAAGTTTTCAAAATTTGAACTTGTAAAAATGTGGAAATAAAATCCATAGACATTATATGAAAAATCTAAAACAGTTGGTATCCCTGGTATTTTGATTTCCAAAAACATAAAAAGTAATTTAATAAAAAGGATAAAGTTAAAAAAATATATATATTGTAAAATAAAGATTCACAACAGCATAGCTGCTAACACAAAATGAAAAGAATTCAGCACATTTTTCAACACAATCAAAATTGTATAGAAACTCTGATAAAAAGCAACTATTTCCCACAATTTTAGATAATCATAGACTCTGGATCTAAAAATTTTTATGCCTATTGTGTTAATTTTGAATGATAAAAGATATTAAAGTTTAATGCAGATTTACTTTTTATTGAAGTTAGTAAAAATTATTTTTGTCGAAAACGTCAATTTTTTTAAAAATAAATATATTCTTACGAAAACTCATTTATACTATGTGAACATTTAAATAACTAAATATTAAAACAAATTTTATGGTTTGTTTCCAGAAAAGATAATTCATAATTTAAAAAAAAAATCTTTTATGGCCTAGTTAAATGTCAATAATTAACACAAAAGAGGAAAATTTTCATGAGTATGTGAATTAACATCTGAGTTGCAAAAATGTAATCAAAATGGAATATTCTTTTTGTAAAAAGATCATTTTTAAAGCTTCGAACTTAATGAAATGTCCATTCACATAGTTCAGAATTTTGATATGGGTCCTACAGACCTAATTTCTTTCTATATTGACAGCTTTATTTTTAAATTTCAATTTCTACCAGAGGCCGATTCACTGTATTTAGTAATAGCATTATTTTTATAAACTTTTAAGCAAGAAATATGTTGAAGGAAAATTAAGGACCTTTCTTTATTTTAAGTATATATATAAAAAAAGAAAAAACAAGTAGGTGTCAAAAATGTTCTCTTTGAAAAATCTAGTGGGTTAGCAGCTATGCATTAGTTTTTCATAGTCTAGAAATTGAAACAACTTGAAGAATAAATGAAAATGCCAGAGAAATATTTGTTAATATTGAAAAAAAAACTAAATTAAAAAAGAGAGTTAAATGTAAGTAGGAAAGTCCAGACAGAGACATGCAGTTTTCATTCAATCTGGTTAGCCTATATCTGGAGAAACACCCGGTCTCTAAAACTAGGGTTAAGGTTAATTCATTGCAAGACAAAAAAGAAAGATTAAATTAATACAAATTAAAATAGAAAATATTAGTTAAATTTGAATTTAATTGTACTAATAAAAGAACTAACAAGGTAATAAAAATCATATACAAAGTGTACATTCCTGCCAAAAAAATGCTTAACATTATTTTTCCAATTTCTGAAATACTACTTTAACGTATTGATAAACTCAACATAATGCATGGTATGAACCACATAGATTTTCATCAATTTTTTGATAATTTATACATTTTACTCATTTTTTTATGACAGTTGATTTCTACTTATGTCCACATAGTTTATTAAGTCTCAATAATTTAATACGACTTCATAGTATACCGCTAATTTCAAATTGTAACATTTGAGTAATCACTTTTTATTTTATTTTGACACGCTCAATTAGGGAAGATTCCACCATAAATCTATGTGATTTGCCGACCACTATTTTGGCAGCTATTGCTACAGATAACCACATGGTTGTTAATATCTTGAATTTTTAATACTCCATTATAACATACAATGAATTCTGAATCACACATTTGAGTAATTAATTCTCAACCCACTCGATTGGTCTGCAGGATTTTGTGAATCGTTTTTTCAGTAGTCATCACATGTTTTTTAAAATCTTAATGTTTTACTACAATAATATTTCGTCTTGCTGAACTTTGAATCGCGCATTTTAAGAATCTCTTTATTACAACTCTAATATGACAATTCACCCGTAAACAAACTTGGTTTATAAAATCTTGATTTTTCAATGCAATATTGTTTTGTACGGAAAATTTTGAAGAGTACATTTGAAAAATCACTTTTTGATGTACTCTATTTTTGACGATGTTATTGTCTCCGTGGTTGTGATAATCACATTTTCAACAGTTGTTGGTAAGAATTTCCACAACGTTTTTAAAATCTCGATTTCTTTTTTCGTATAATTCTATTATGATCCACGAATTTTGAATGCGTAATTTTTTTTTTTTGACAGGAGTAATATTTTTACGCTAGCCAAGAAGAAATGTACACAATTATTTTACATTGTAGTGAAATGCTGCCGTAGTTACAAAACTCCGGATTTTGTTTATGTTATATCCTCCCACAACAAATTTTTGTTTATTATTATTATAGCTGAAATCGGATAAAAATCATAAAAAAGAATTTCGTGGGTAAGCGGAGAACCGCCCTCTCTAATAGAAAAATTACAGGTAGTTTTATCATTTATTTTTGAAAATATTAAGAAACATTTTAATCGATCATCTAATTTTTAAAAGGTCTGCCTCCTTTTTGATTTTACAGGACATAATAGAGACAAGTTGGCGCAATTGGCAGGTATGTACATACAAATTAGATTAAGAAAAACAGATTACTATGAAATAACTATTGATATATAAATCTTATTATTTACAGCAATGGTTAAAATTGTATTAATAAGTAACATTAATTATATTTAGATTCAAGTAATTATCCAAAATGATTTTATACAAGCATATTAAAAAAGTTTTCAATTAAAAGTTACATTATCTCAAAACATCTTTTTCAAACGAAAAAAAGTTTTTATTTCTGGAATATAAATTCTTATAAATCTTTTACAATAAAAAAAGTATTATTTGGAATAGAGCTAATATACAAATTCAACGATAAGAAATACGTAAATGCATAGAAAAATCACAATAAATCAGATGAAAAAATTAATAGCACATTTTAAAACTGCTAATCATCGGTAAAATTGTTTTAAGTTAATTATTCTAGTTTCTTTATAACAGTTAAGCATCAGTAAAAATGCTTTAAGTTTCTTATTACATTTAAATAATTTGTGTTTTTCTCTACAGAGGAAAAAAAAAATTTCTCCAAAGAAAAAAAAAAAAAAACATTCTAAAATATCTTCAACAATTATAAACTATAAACTGAAACATAGCTATCCAACATTATCAATACTGGTCTAATTACCACCAAAAAAAAAAGGAAAAATGAAATTTCACAAAGACTCAAAGTTGACTTCCAAAGGCTGAGTAAAAGCTCGACTATCCGAATTTTGACTGAACAGAAAAGTCAAGTAACCAAAAGTTCGTAAAAAAAAAGAAAGACATGTAATTTCTTGAACGCTCACTTACGAGGACACAGTACCCAAAATATCGAAAATATTTTTTGACTACTTTGGTAGATTCAACTTTTTCTGCATGACATTCTAAACTTTTGAAACCATATCTATATTATTTAAAAAGCCATTAAGGATACTGCGCGGGTTGACAGTTCATTAAACATAAACAGACACGTCCCTTTTTCTGAGCTAAGCCTATGTTTATTCTTTATATTTCAATTTAGACAAGTTTCAAGCACCATTATATAAGACTTATTTTTATAAGGGTTGAAACTTTTGTAACTAGCATTTTTTACTGAAAATAAAGTAATGTATAGAATTCAGATTTTAAATTCTCAAATATCTGGAAATTGATAATCCCTCCATGTTCGGCATAGTGGAGCTTTTACTTTAAGTTTAATTATATCTTTACAAAATTAAAAAAAAAAATTAAGCAACATTTAAAAAGGGAATAAGGCCTAATCTTCAAGTGTGACATTTCTAAACAAGTAGGACATGGATTCTTTGTTGTGGATGCGACGAATAGCTTCAGACAACAAAACGCTAATGTCGACCGTCTTGATTTTGTGGCACTGCATTTTCTGTACCTCGTGGGGTACAGTGTTTGTAACCACCACCTAAAAAGATAAACAAGTAAATATATAAAAGAACTTATTATGTTAAGATTTTAAGTCAAATAAAAATGTTCCGTTCAGTAATCGGAAAAACCTTTTTATATAGTGAACTAGGATTACTTTATTACAAATGTAGTTAACTACAACTATTTTTGAAATGTAGTCATTACTTAGCAACTTTAAGAAGAGAAACTTTGTTGGAGAACTCAATTTTCACATAGGTTTAAAATGTTTGAATAATAAATTGCCCTATTTGAATACAAGGAAGTATGAAAAAATATTTATTCATGTTTATATGAGCTAGTTTGTTATTCCACCAGTAACTATTGTACTAAGTTCGTTATTTCAGTTAAGATATGACCAAGGTGATAAATTACTATCGACCACAACCTACAGTGAAACTTACACATAGAAAAATAATCTTGTGGATTGGTGAGCTTTTAATTCTTAGCACAGCTTGAAAAGCATGTTAAAGAAAATGGACACACAAAATGTGTTTCTTCAATGTTCAACCCAAACAAGATGAGGAATTTCAAACTTGCGTTTCTAAATAAGAAGCATGATCATTAAGGGACAAGTCCTCGGGTCAGAGTGGCTAGGTAAATTACACTTCTTTGTGTTCAGAATACTGAACAGTCAATTTAATTCAACTATTACTACTTTATAGGACTTGTGATAATAACTATTGAGTTTTTATTTTATATTTAATAACCGTCGTTGAACAGCCGACCCAATTTTGGGTTTATGGCTAGTAAGGTTTAACTCCATAGCTTTGTCATTTTGAACTAATCCAGAAGAGAAGGAAACTCCTGGATCAGTACCCCCAGAGGTATTGATTTGTTATGGGAACATGGAGGACTTTGCGACTCAAAGGATTTAACGTGCATCAGTTACCATTTACTACACAGTGAGTCATCGGCCGTCCTTAGTTCGAACCCACAAACTCTTGGGCATGAGCCCAGTGCCCTACCAACCAGGCTATTCCGGCCCAACTATTGAGTTTTTTATTTTATAACTGCCGAACAGCTGACCCAATTTTGGGGTTTACGACTACTAATGCTAAACTTTGTAGCCTTGTCATTTTGAACCCAATCCAATCCAGAAGACAAGAGAACTCCTGGATCAAGTATTGTGAGAAATTTGCCATTGTGGAGGATTTTTTGATGTAACTAGCCCACATTTGTGTTACATGGAGACGAAAACCACGAGAATCACCCACGGTTAGCCCGACGGCAAGAGGACTCTAACCCGCGACCCGCCTACCACTGAGGATATTTCACGTAAGCACTGTGTTCGGTGCAGGCCGGATAAGGGGATTTGCATAGACCGGCCATCACCGGGATCGAACCCCGGTTCACCTCATTGGAAGACGAACGCCCTATCCCCTGAGCCATCAGAGCTCTAACTATTAAGATTTCAAAAAAAAAAAAAAAAACATTTTTTAAAAAAGGCACAATGAGATTTAGGCAAATGAACATTATGACTCTGGAAGATAATATGGCTTTCTTTTTTTGTTTAAAGAGATATCTGAGAGAACTCAATATTAATAAAAATTACTACAGAGATTTATAACACCTACTGGATAGTCACTAATACAGCAGAGTGGCCACTCCCCACATAAAACAAAACTCCTTGAGATTTCCAGAGTCAAATTAAAATTTTTTAAAATTTTAATGATTTACATTAGTTGGTTTCTAATTGTAAAATCATTTAAATCCACATACATATTAATATGAATTAATGCCGAAAGCAATTTCAGAAATAAAACTGTTTAATTCTTATATCTTAATAGTTATGTTTCTTTCACAGTTAAAATTCTTACGACAATAAACCGAATTAAAGAAGTAGGCAAAATATTTCCATCCAAACTAAATATGTAAGAATCATAAGCATATTTAATTAAAAAGGTGATTTTAAAACTGTTTGTTTATTGTCTTAAACTTAATATTAAAATTTTTGAAAAAAAAAAGAAGGTTCATTTAATAGTTGGAAATAGCAAAATTATTAATTAGAATTATTTATTAAAATAGTACTGATGACATGAAAAATAAATGATTCTAGTACCATTCATTAAAAAATGATTATCTAAATTAAGTATTGTTGTTGTCATAGGCCAGGGGTGGCGAACCTTAATGCACCAACGTGCCATTTTTCTAAAAAATTGTTTAATGAGGTCATAGACGTGTCGTCAAATAATTTTGACTTCGTGATTATTGGGAAAATAATACAAAACAGTGTCAACTCAAAACTCTTTATTTAGTATGAAAATAAAATATATCTTGCAATGTTATACGCGTAATTCAACTTAAAGTGACATCAGTTTGACTTCTGTTATTGCAGATTAGATGACAAATAACTTATATTAGGTTGTAAGATGTTAGCTTAAGCAGGACTATAAATTTTTTTTGCTAGTCATTTACAGTTAGCTTGTTTTTTTATGGTTATTAATTGTTAATTCTTTCGTTAATAATTGTTTTTTTTATTTGTTTTTTGTGAACTTCAATTTAATTCTTAATATGCTTCATAGTAAACTTTGTGAGCGGTGGTGTGCCCAAAATATTGTGTCGCGTGCCATGAATGGCACGCGTGCCATTGGTTCGCCCTCCCTGTCATAGGCCATTAAGGTACTGGGGGAGAGATTGTTCTTGTTTTCCAGTGGCACCCTCTATGACCAAGAGTTAGACTTCTGCCACGCCCATTTATAGGGAGGACCCATTCATACATCCACAGATCGTAATTTTGACCTGAACCAGAGAATGATCGATCTCTAATCCAGTATCCCCAGAGATAGTATAAACCAGTTTTAATGTCTAATAATGGGCATAAGCAAACTAGAGTTGTATGTGATTTTCTCAGAGGATACTATTGGTATTTTCAAATTCCCTGATAATTCCAAGTATTCCCTTTTTCCAGAGAGAAAGTGACCAGCCTGAATAAAATAGCCTCGTATTGAACTCTTTGACTTAAATGTAGGAAATTAAAAAATTTTTGATAAAAATAGAAAAACACACAGGTATTTGGTACTGATCTCACTGATCAAAATATGGGAGTTTCCCGATAAAAAACAAACATACCTCATCTATGGGTGAGTCTTCGAGTAGCCTAGGTGCATCTGAAGAAAGAAGTCCATGAGTGGCCAAGACATAGATCTTGTAAGCTCCCCTCTCTTTCAGAACTTCTGCAGCCATAACAAAGGATTCAACATCATCAATCATATCATCCTGCACACAGTTTGATGAATCAGTAAACAACTCAAATAAAAATAGTATTGGGTAAGAAAAATAATAATGTCTTTAATCCAATCAATTCATACAACTTTTTAAGCAAATTTTTGAAGAAAAAAAAATCTGATGAAGAAGAGATCTTTTAATATTTTTTTTCTTCCCCAATGAGCTGCACAATCGGTCTTGCCAATGAGCAGACCTAGTGCGTTCTCCAGAGGTGGTATCCACTCTTTCAGGACCACCACAATGGGTGAGATACCGTTGGTCATGTTAATTTGGACGTCTAGTTTCTGCCACACTAGATGGCAGCACCGAGACTCTATTTGGATGCTAAAGTGCACTAGGAATTTAATTTTGCCGGAAATGCCAAGAGCCAATAAGGCACTCCAGGGATCTTTTACATGCCGCATAATCATACTACATGGCCGCTGAGGATTTTCTGCATCCCGAAAATCCGGTGTCTGGGCCGAGGATCGAACCCGCAGACTTGGGCTCAGAAGGCCGACGACAAACCAACTGCGCCACCCAGCCACTTGATCTTTTAATATAGTAAGTACAAAAATAACCCAAGTATGTCCAGTAAGTTAGTTTCTCTTTTATAAAGAATTTTCTCTCTAAAATTTTATTTTTAGAAAGATTGGTAGAAATTCACTAAGAGTTTTGATTTTTAATCTCACTAAGATAAAAGTTAACTTAGCAATAAGGGCTGTTCATGAAAAATGAGTTTTTAATTTTTTAATTAATTTTTTTGTGTTCCATCTCCCCCTATCACTCACTGAGAGTGATTCATTCATAAGTTGTGACTTACTTCAAAATAATTTCAGAAGATGTTATTTACACCATTTTTACGCAATAAATAACTTGAAAAAAATCTTGTTAAGATGTAAATGCTTAGGGCCAATTTTTGCTTAACACAAACAAAAATAGCTTTGCCATTACATTATCTTAGAAAACAATAATGATAGCCTATTATAATATGAACTTTTGCTTAGAACACAATAATATTGAACCTATTGAAAACAATTTAATCATCAGGGTTGGCATTTTGTATAGAAGAAACTGCACAAAATGGAAGATTTGCATCTTTATTTTGAAAGCAAAATTATAAAGTTATTTGGACAAAAATTTATAATTTAGTAATAATAATAATAAAAAAAAAACAGTCCTGCAACAGTTTAGCTATTGGCCAAGAGGAGGCAGAGGTTAATGCTCTTTAATTTTCTTGATCAACAACATAATGGTGTAAAGTGGTCAACATTGAGAACCATCTGCTTTTACTACTCAGCCAAGCTGATATTAATTAATCAGAAGCTGTGTGGAATCTTAGTCATTACTGAAGATAGCACCCAGTTATTTCACAATGGCAACATTAACCTCTAAGCCATCTCAGTTCCAAATAGAGACTTAAAAATGTTTACATACCACCATAATAGCAATTCTTCCACCTACATCACCAACTACATTAATTGGGGGTTTCTCCTTGGCTGCCAAAACTGAAACAAAAATAAATACAATATGTAAAAATAATTATATAAAATTTATTAAATTCAATCACCAAATGACTAATATATTACAAAAACAAACAAAAGCAATGAGTTACATATCATTTTAACAAACATAAATGTACACCTATTTCCTAATTGTTTTATAATTAAATTTGATATTTTACAATTTTAGATGATTTGCTTGCCTACAATTTTTAGAGTTTCACTACAACTTAAAACGACCCATTTATTGAAATTTTTATTCACTGCATTAAAAATCAATTCCATTTGTATCAATATCATCTTTCTTGATCAAATGATTCAAGAAATGAGTCCTGTTAACAGAGATGCTAACTTGCTCCGGACAGCAAATATATATTTTAAATTGGTAGTTTATCAATTGTGATTCTTGGTTTAATAAATTCAATTTAGTAGATTTTTATCCACCACTATTTCTAAACAATTCGTAGGCTTATATGTTTCACCACTTTATATTACTTACGTCGTGGTATACCTTTTAAAAAGCAAGCAGAAATTGTCAAATATTTGCAAAATTTATTTTGTAGTTATCTACCGTTTTACTAATTATTTAGGCTTGTCCGGAGCAGTTGGCATCTCTGTGTTAAGTCTGAAAAAGGCTTGAAAAGTACTTTGAACTATGTCCATAACTGAAATTCGAAGCTTAATACTTGTAACAGACTGAATATAACTTATTACTGGATTCTTTTAAAATTAGTAAATAATTCAAACATTTTTGATGCTGCCATCTGGATGTTAAATTTTAAAATAATTTTTTTTTCACATGCTTTCATAAATCAGTTTTCAAAAAAAAACGGCACACTTGGAAATGAGATGTACCACTATATTCTATAAATTGCAAGAGTGGAAAAAGAATTTTTTCTGTTTATTCTGAAAGAATTTGGAAAGTACTGTTGATTTTCTTAAAATAAATTGTTTTACAGCAACTGTATGCAAAATGGTGCACTTTGCTGCTGTCATGCCCCAACACTATTAGAGGAGGTTCAGTGTTTAGAACTTAATGGAAACTAAATTTAGATCTTAAATGCAAATGATATATCTCCTTGAATAAACATTCCAGTAAGAGAGTCATACAATTTCAAAGTATTTGATTGTGCGTGTCTTCAAAAGTCAGAAAAATACTTTTAAAAAAATTAAGTACTTTAAAAGGTTGATTATTGCTTGTAAATTGATTTTTTACAAAAATATTTTTTTTAAAATTCATTGAGCCACTAAGTTGCTACTCTACAATGTAGAGTTAACTCAAGTCCAGCATTTGTGTTGTCTTAGAGTTTAATATATTTTTCCTTTTTCGACATTCCAAAATTTTTAAAGCACAATTGTTTTTGTAGTTTATATATCTGGTAATTGTACACAGATCAGTAAAAGAGGAGGACAAATTTATTTTGCTAACATAATTTTCATTTGGCTTATGCTTTATTCTGCGGATTAGCCGAATTGTTCAGAAGTCACTAAGAACACTGTTCCAGAGTTTTACTAAATTTAATATTTTTTTAAAAATATTATTGATACTATATGTGCTCATTAATTATGTGATGTATTTATTTAAAGTACTAGATACTTTTAAGTACTAAGTGCAAAATATGAAATGTATTGATACAAACCCATCTACAATATGAACTCATTTTATGCCCCTCATACACAAAAGATAAAAAAAAAATTCTAAATAGAAATGCAAAATAATAAATAAAAAATCAAGGACAATTTTTAATTTTATGTGTGGATAGAGTGTCAATAAAATTGATGAAGCTCTTTTCGATAGGTCTTATAAACCTTACTGGCATTATGATGTACAATGAAAAGTCCCACATCCAAATTCATCAGAATTTCAGCAATAAATAGTTTTAAAAGTAGTGTTTGCTTGATAATAGGTTTTTAAGATAAACAACATCAATGAAAAATTGATTGATAATTAACAATGATTCAATGCAACATTTTTGAATGACTTTTTGTTAAGTAAAAAATGTTTTCTATGACAAAATATCTTTAACAAATAAAAAAAAATTATTAAATGATTGTTTGAACTTTCCCTTTCACGAATAAAGACTTTCTCTTTTCCATTTGGTATGAAGAATTAGCCTGACAGATAATCAGATAAAAATAACAAAAAAAAACAAACTTAAATTTTCAAAAGTATATTAATCTAATTTAATAACAAAAAAAAAAATGTAAAACAAGGAACAGAATTGTAATTAATTAATATTCATGTTTTATATTTCTCGCCAAAGTTTGTTATTCTTTAACTGCATTTGTCTTTTCATCAACTCTATTTTTGTGAATCAGAATATACATTTAGTTTAGTTATCAGAAAAAGAGCAAAAAGAAATAAATAATAATAATAAAAAAAAAATACTTTTTTTATAAATGCAGACAGCTGTTTCGGATGCTCAAAGGGCAACCTTCATCAGTGCAACAGAAAATGCATATAATATTATAATAATATTTTTGTGCTCTTTAATGTTGTTTACCTTAGTTTGTATTTTAGCACAAAGGTCGCCCACTTGTGTATTTACTTTTTTTAATAGATTGCAAGTGTAAATGTTTCTTCCTTTCTTTTTTTGAAAAATGAAAGGAAATATTTTTAAAAAGTGTTTGGAAAATAGAAATTTCCAGTTTATGGTCTTTTCAACGACTATTTTTGTGTGTTTCTTGACACAGAATGTGTTTAGTTTAGCTATCAGAAAAGAGAAAAGCAGCAAGAATAAATAAATAAATAATAATAAAAAAATAAGAATATTTTTACTAGATTGTAAGATTTCTTTTTCTTTTTTGAAAAATGAAAAGAGATTTGTTAATTTTGATTTTTAAAAAGTGTTTGGAAAATAGACGTTTCTGATTTATGTAAACCAGACTAAAGTCCAGGTACGGAACTGTACACCGCATAAATATTCATAAGTATCAACATAGTGTGCATGAATAAAAGACCTGGCATAATATCCAATCCAACATCCATTGTCCTGGAGACAGCTACTATAGGAGGCGGAGAGTATCTTCCATCCACCATGTCTGACTCAGATTCCTTCTGCTCACCATGAATAACTGCAATACCTGGAATTTTTAAAAGGGTGAAACAATGGAAAACCATCTCTGCATCAAAAATTGCACTATTTTTAATTTTAAACAGCATACTGTATGTTGTGCGTAATGTCAAATATTAAATATAACTTTTCTCATGTATTTTCAGAAAACTAGAAAAAAAAATATCCGAGAAAAAATATCCTTTTATATCCCATATGTACTTTTATAGCATACCTGCCAACTTTCACACTTTCCGAGAATGGATTTTCAGAGTGGTTGTAAAACAATAAATGAAAAACAATCGGAAAACAATTGATCCCGTTGAAATTCGCTTGCGCAAGGATTATTATGCTTTGATATATTTATTGTAATTATTTACATGTAGTGGTGGTCAAACTCATTTATAATTATCATTATAATTCAAAAAGTTAATTGGAATAACCTGAGTATTGATACCACTTTAAATATGAAAATAAAATTTTCCGGAAAATCCGGAAAAGTTGGCAGGTATGGTATAGACAACTATAAGCTAACAAAAGTAGTAGAGTTCCAATAGTTAAAAAAATGAACATTAATCATTTTTAGAGTTATTAATGCCAATGTTAAAAGTTAAATTAAAGCAAATTCTTTCTAATTTTAGTGCATTAAAATGATGCATTTCTAAAAAATTTTTTCTTTAGAACAATTCAATGCAAAAAGTATCCATTCTTCTAGTTAAACTTAGCAGTTGTAACACTTTGAAATTTACAAAAAATCTACCAAAACTTTAAAAAATATATATATATAATTTAACACAATGAAAACTAAAACAAAATTGACATTCATTGACTCTATTTAAAATTTTCTTGAGAAGTTTTGAGTTCTCATCTAAAATAAAAGATATAAAGAGAAACAAATTTTGTTTATCTCTTTCTGATATAGCTATAATTTCCAATTAAAAGTAATTATTGTTCATTATATTATTTTATAATAGCATATATTCATACATTTGCTTAACATGTCTGACAATATATTAACTTTACTGTTACAGTACAGAAACTTTTATCTGGCATTTGAAAAACCTGGATTCTGCTGGGTTTTTCCATCATTTTGAAATAAAATAATTGAGGCAGAATGAGGAAAATTCAGTCATCTTGGAAGTTGAGTAGAGAGAAAGGTGTGGGGTCTTTGATTTACAAAGGGGGAACGCATTACACATGCCTTGATCATGCCCTAAACAACGGATAAATATTTTCGAGTGGTAGTTTTATGATGTGATTCTTAGTTTAATAAATTCGATTTATTACTTAATAATTCAAAGGTTTAAATCACCACTTTATTATTTTATATGTTAAACCTTTTAAAAAGTAAACAAAATTAGCCAAATATCTTCAAATTTTAGTTTATGGTTATTTACCATTTTTTGAATTATTTCGACGTGTCTGGAGCAGTTGGCATCTCTGATATTACTGATAACATTTTAATATATATTTTTTAATGATTTCAAACGGTATTTAAGTTTTTTTTTCTTTAAACATTTAGCTATAAGAGGGTAAAAATATGACGATTAACACTAGAGAAAATTTCGCAAATGTATGGATTATGCATCTGTCAGTAAAACTGCAAGGACTTACTATAAAATGTCATTGAAAAAAGATTAAATTAAAAATATTTAACTTTAATGAAATCAAATTCTTCATTAAAAAAAACTAAGAAATATTTAGCAATAAATATCACAGTAAGCTGAATAAATTAAGTTTGAATGAGACATTTGGTATATTTCCTTATCTATTTGCTCTTTCTCATTTAGTGTGGAATAAAGCAAAATATTAGGAATACCTTAAATATGTTTTACCGATTAATTAAATAAAAAACATAGCAAAATGTATATAAAAATTGCAAAATATTTGTTCAAAAATAAAGTAATAATCTAGTTTAGTACCTAATCTAAGTCTTTCAGCATAAGAAGTAGCCTTTTTAGCAGAGCCTGGATTTCTTGCAACAATCACTGCATTTCTGTAATCAGGTATCTGGGGAAAGAAATACAGAATTTCTTTCAAATATGGAAAATAAAAAGCAAAAATGCAATTACTGATTATGTTCTCTATATATTTAATATTTAAATGCATGGGTGCAGTCAATGGGAAAATATGTATGTCAATAAAAAATACACAAGAATTTCTTTTTTTAAAATTTTTATAAAAACATATTGATTGCATAAATAACAATCACTTCTTGAGTTCTACAAATTTACTTTGTATAATAATATAAAATTTTTATATAAACATATTGCTTTCAAGCATAATTAATAGTTATATAAATAATTGTAACTCCTAATGAAATTGTCAGTCTAAGAATTTAAGTTGCATTCGGAAACAATAAAAATTTTGATAAAATTAATGTTAAAAAAGTGTTATGCAAAAGTTGCAAGATAAAGAGATATGAGGTTTTAAACATGCAATGCAGATCTATATCACTATGCATTTAAGGGGTAACAAAATTTATTTGTACTTACATTAAAAATATAAGCAACTACACAATGAACACGAATTTAAAATAATTATACAATTTAAAAAAAAAAGAAACTAAATTCAAAAGAATTAACAACTTATAAATTGAGAATAAATCGATAATTTGCGACAATTTATAAAAATATGTAACATTAGTGCACAAAAATTAGACATTTGTTGCTATTAAAAAAATATTTATAAGGGGCCGTTCAAAAAGTTTGTACACAAAAATGGAGAAATTTCAACTCCCTCCCCCCTTCGTACATAAGGTCTTACCCTTAGAGTATGTAAATTTTATTAGTCTATCCCCCTTTTTCATAAAAATTTAAATAATTATGTTTTAAATAAAATTACAATATTTTTGTGTTTGCAATTTTTGATTTTGCAAGACAACATTTTTTGAGAACTGATTCTCATTCTAAGAAGTGGTCGCTATGTGAGAAAAAAAACAAGAACAAACATATGTATAATACATGTGTATGAAAAAGTCAAATTTAAGTTTGGTGTATGCTTATAATGTATGTACTTTGTTTGATACCTCCCCCCTCCCCATCCTACAAAACCATACAAAATAGCACATCCCCTACCCCCTTCGGGATGCACATACTTTTTGAACGGCCCTATCAACTAAAAGCTAATTTTATACTTTATAATGATTTTTTTTTAAAAATCAATAACAACATTAACCAAATTTATAAAAATCTAGCAATTTTGAAAATAGTAATAAAAGGAAGAAAAAGAAGGGAGAATAGTCTTAAAAAAAGTTTTTATTCACCCACTAATATGAAAAAGAATTTTGAGTGCTTTTTGAAATAATAAAGTAATAAAAAAACCGTTAATAAAGAAGAAAAAAAAAGGAAGAAGAATGGACATTGAATCCATTGAGGTGAACTGGGTTCGAATCTCAGTGATGACTGGTCTATATCAAATCTGCATCCGGCTTGCACCGACCGCAGTGCTATGAAATATCCTCAGTGATAGACGGATCATGGATTAGAGTCCCCTTGCCGTCAGGCTAACCGTTTCTCGTGGTCTTTCATTCCACATAGCGTAAATGCAGATTAGTTCCACCAAAAATTCCTCCATGAAGGCAAATTTCTCCCCATACTTGAGACAAGAGTTCCCTTGTCTTCTGGATTGCTTCCAAAATTACAAGGTTACATAGTCGATTAGCAGGCGTAAACTCGAAAATCGGGTCAGCTGCTCAATGATGGTTATAAAATAAAATTTCTGTATGGAAAAAATTAAGCTTCATTTTACCATAAAAAAACTGAAATTACATGATAATTTTTGCAAGAGAAGCAAAGAGCATGAACTAACTAAACATTTTTAAAAGTACTTACGCTTTCTTGGATGTACTGCAAGAGGAAAGGTGATGCTCGCAAATTGTCTACTGGAATATCAAAGAAGCCTTGTACTTCCTTTGAATGAAGATCCATTGTAATAAGGTGAGTCAATCCTTTAATACATTAGTTAGAAACAATTACTCAGGATATTGAGATTTATAGCTTTTAAGAGAAATTACTATTGAGGAAGAAAAAAAATTCAATGAGCAAAATAAATGTGGTTGAATGAAGAATAATTGTTAAGCTTTTTTTCCTGCATAATTATCATTCATTAGCATAGGTAAGTGATAAACAAACCTAAGAAAACATTCAACAATTTGGGGCTTATGTGATTCAAGCATGTCAAAAATGGTAGTAGAGATGCAAAGAAAAAAGAAAAAGAGAGAAACAAATCTTAAGTGAAAACTAAATTAATTCTGAGAATTAAATGATGCCCCTGCTTATCTGTAAGGCAAGTGTTGAATCATATATGACTTCAAATTTTGATTTCAAAATATCTCCTTTTACTCAAAATTTTTTGGATTTGCTTATAAATAAATGAGCAATTCTAAAAAATGCATAATAGATGGATAAAGAGATAGAGAATTTATTGTCTGCTCAATACTAGATATTTTTTTCTTCATAATTTTGAGACTAGCTTTCCTGTTCTTTCTTTCAATTTATTTATTCAGTTATTCCTTTTAAATTTCACATCTTGGACTGTTTGGGACTTTCCAGAGAGGACATTTACTCATCCCCCCCTTTGGTCCTGGTTCTCGATTTCCTTAGGGTCAGCGGTCTGATGAACCAGGTCTGACTTTGTCAGGCACTTGGAGGATAAGAAACAAACGCACAAATTTCCGAGACATTATTTGAAGTAAGCTTATTTTAATTCACATAGAATTTCGTAATTTTTAAACAGGGCTAAAAAGTTTTGCATTAAGAAAAGATCCAGTTTCCAGTCTAAAAGAATTACCGACAGAGATTATTGCATCACAATAATTTAAATAACTTATTAATATAACTAATATAAAGATTGTAAATTTTTACCCTGTGATTTGCAATTGTGATTTCAAATGAAGATTGAGCCAGCAAAATGAAGATTAGGTCAGTTTTTTCATTTTATATTTTATTATTAATCTAATGTAGGGTGGGAGCAGACCTTTTTTGAGTTAAGGTTCACGTGCTAGTAGATTGACCAATGAAGGACTGAATGTTTAAATATTTAGACTGTCATGTAATTCAGTGTTCATTCTAGACCTTAAAAATGGCAGGCCGCTAGAAACTGGAAAGGACAGAATTTCCCCTTAAAAGAGAGCACCTATCACAAAACTCACAAATAATGAGAATTTAAAGATCTTTTTTTAAGATAATTAATTTAAATATAAAATAATTCTACAGTTAAATTCACAGATTTTTCAAAATGATAGTAATTCCTGAATTTTGAAAATGTTTTGTGTCGTAATTATAACTTATTAAAAACATTGTGATTTCAAAAATGATGACAAAATGAAAGAGAAAATGATAAGTAATTGTAATAACTACCGAAAAAGCGATAGAAAACTAATGTGGACTTTCGCTGAAATCAAGCATGTGAAAAAGTGATTACTAAAATATGAATTTCACTAGCCATAACATTGTATTAATATTACCAGAATAAAAAAACCCACATGGAAATTGTCAAGAAATAACTAACAGCTGCTGAAAAAAATATTCATTAACGTGGATTTACAATAAAATTTATCTAGTTTGAGCATGTCAAAATACTTTAAATCGAAAAACTAACTTGTCTTAATAACATTGAATAAAACTTATCAGAATAAGAAAAAGTAAGTGGAAATGCCCAGAAGCAATGCGGATTAACGATGGATTTGTCTTGAATCAAATGCCTTAAAAAGCAATAACTCAAATTCTAAACTCTCGTGTCGTAATAATGTATTAAATATATCAGATTTTGTCAAACCACATGTAAAAGACCGAAAGCACGATACGCAACAGCCGAAAAACTATCGCCAAACACCGTCAATTATGAAGGAATCATCACAAATTGAATGCCTGAAAAAGTGCTAACCTAATTCTGAACTCTAAAACATTGTATGAAATCTTATAAAAATATCGGAGAAAATAGAAAAAACACGTGCAAAAGGCTGCTGAAAGAATATCTAGCATTGTAGAATCGACACAAAGTCTACACACGGAGCCTGAATGACCCAATATCATCCGATGACTGGAAATTACGATGGAATTGCCACAAATCAAATGTAATAACATCTTATTAACAATATCGGACTTCAAAAACTCAAGTGAAAGGGGTCGATAAAATGACAAACAACTGCCGAAAAGCCTATAATAAAACGGCGAGAAACTGTAGTGATAACTCAAATTTGAATTTCGAACAGCCTACTAAACATATCAGTATTTAAAAAACCTTGTAAAATGACTGAAAAAATGATTAATAGCTTCCAAAAAAGCCATTATCAAACGCAGTGAAATTGTGATCGAATCCTCACGAATGGAACTCGTCAAAGAGTGATAATGCGAGTTCGGATTTTGAATGTCATACGAACAATCTATTTAAAATATTAAATTTGAAAAACCATATAAAAAAGGCCGAAAATCGCAAATAACTTCCGAAAAATTTATCATCAAACGACCTGAAATTAGGATGGAGTTGTCACGAATCAAATGCTTCAAAGAAGTGATAGATGAAGTGCAAAATGTAGATGTCAAAATAACGTATTAGAGATATAAAACCATAGGGAAATGGTAAAAAAAAAAAAAAATAAATGATTAATCACAGCCAAAATACCATCTATTAATGCAGAAAAACTATCAGAAGATCACATGGATTTACCAAAAAATGGTGCAACCTTTCCTTCCTTTAATATGTCAGACGTGTAATCAGGTTCATAGGGCAGAATTTTTTAGTCAAATGGCAAACAGGGTGCTCCGCAAACCCCACTTAGAAAGAACCATGTAGTAAGTTTCAAATAAACATCAGAGTTATTGGCACTAAATTCTTTTTTTTATCACATATGTTACTTAAAATTAAACACTTTTACATTCAATTTCATTTTAAATAAAAGAGTGCAACTGATTACTTGAAAAAATATCTTAAAATAAAAGAATTTTTCTTCTCCGGAATTTACATTTTCGTAGCATATTTGTTGGACCACTGAAATGCAATTTAAATTTCATTAATTTTTTTATTAATAGCTGTTTAGCATTTTGGTACACACCCACAGATATATATATAAATATATATACACATGCAAAATTAAATTTATATATATACTATCTGATATATATATATATCAAAATTATATATATGACCTCTGGTGTAGATGGTTACAAAATTTTATTTTTCAGTTAACAATGAAATAATTTTATGAATAAAATGAATTTATATTCTTAGTAATTTTTCATTTTATTTCATATAAATATTCTTCCTTACCCTCAACATAAAATATGATACATTTATAGTAAATATATATATTTATATTGTATAAAAATAATGCCAACACCCATCTCATTTCTTAAAACTTCAAGATAAAATCTTGATTTGCATAAAGCAATAAGAATTTAAAGGTTAAAAAAAGTTCAAATAGTTTTTAAAAGTATTTTGCCTCATAATTTTTTTTTTAATGTAATAGAGATTACGGAATAAAGCAGAGGAAATGTGTGCAAACAAATCTAATCTTTCAGTTACAGGTACTTTGCATGAGTGACAAAATTTCCTCAATTTCTATCCCCAACAGCAATGCAAACAAATTAAACTGAAGGGCAAAAAAATTGAAGGGAATTAGAGATGAGTATTACCTGAATTACACATCATTTTAGCCAAGAGCTTGGATACAATGCAACCACGTTTTCTCATTTTGCTCTGTTTGCTGTAAGGCAGGTAGGGTATAACTCCAACTATTTTTCGAGCACACGAAGTCTTGCAAGCATAGGCCATAATCAACAGTTCCATTATGTTGTTATTTACGTCTCTAAAAGGGTGAATAGTAAATTAAATCAACCAACAAAGCTCTTGTTCTCCTTATTATTATTTTTTTTAAAAAAAAAAGTTTAGAAAAATTGATTTTATAAGGTTTAAATCAGATCAGATTTTTTAAAAGATTCTTTAAAAATTCAAATTTATAATCAGATAAATATTACAATTATATATGCATAAACCTAATTAAAATATTATTAGAAATAAATCATAGCATTACATTTCAAATAATATTAATGTCTTAATAATTATTTTGTAGTAATATAGAACTCATGTAAATGATTGATTCAAATTAAATGAAATAGAAATGTAACAACTATCAACTACTGGAAAACAAGTTAACAAATAAAGTATAAAAATCAATTTTGTATTTATCTTTTAATAATTTGAAAAGACAAAATGATAAAGGCTTCTTATTTATTTGACTAAACAAATAATATCATCAGATCTTCTAAAAGGAGTTTTCCTCCTAGCCGACATGTATAATATCACAATGTTTTAGATCAACTGATGTAAATAACAAATGTTAACGTTAACATTTAAAAAAAGTAAACTACAGAGACATGACATAATCATTTATAAAGATGACATAAATCATTTAAGACTTTAAATTTTGAAAAATTACAAATTTTGAAGCAAAATATTAATTTGCACTTCAAATGATTTTTCATAAATTGAAAGAAAAGTGATATTGAGAAGATGATAAACTTGCTGACTTTTGATACATATTTTAATCTTTGTATTTATAAACATCCCTTTGTATCTATAAATCATAACATCCGAAAACAAACATAAATTATAAACATCTTTGTATTTATAAATAATAAACATTGTATCTATAAACACGCTGATAGACGGAAGAAAAAATTATAAAACAAGGAAAGAGCTACATTTCCAATCAAAGCTTTTGATTAAAACTGATCTGATATTTGCAGCAAGAAAAAACAGCTTTTGATACTCAGATTTGTTTTTTTTTCTTACTGCTGAAAAAAATTATGAGAGATAAATAGAGGGAAATTTTTTTTCTTCTCCCTTTTAAAATTTTGTTTAATTCTGCAAACATAAATTTACTATTTTATTTCATTTTTCTAGATAAAGAATTACATATCCTGGTCGACACATGCTCTCTCTTTAAAATTAACACTTTAAGATTTTTGGCATATTTCATGCGCTATAGCACGCTGAATCACTAATAAACGAGTTTTACTCACTTAGTTCCCGTTTGCAGAATATAAACATCTCGGCCACGGACAGATTCTCCAATATCCACAAGGGTTTCTACATAAAATAATCATTAAGAGAATATTTCAAAAATAAATAAAAAGGATATTTTAAAATCTGAAGACATGATTCTCAAGATGGATACAAATCATACCTCTGTTAGCTGCATGGATAACAGAACAGTTGCCAACTCTAATACCAAGTCGTCTGTAAGAAATATGAAGGGAAAAAAAATTATAGGTTATTTTACATTAAAAATATGACTGAAATTTAAAGCTTCGGGAGTGTATGTTAATAACGTTTGTTTGGATAACACACTTTTAAGTCATAAGATTAGTTTTTCCTTAAACAAGACTTGATTTCTAAAGTTGCACATAAATAATTTTTACCAAAAAAGGTGTTTCTATTGATAGGTGGGAATTAGGAGTGAAAAGGTAAGGATGTCACTAATTCAGATCAAATACTCAACTCTGATCAAGAGACTACTCGTTTTGCAAAATACAAACTAATCATTTGGATATTAAACAAAAAACATGAAATTCTAAATAAATTATATAAAACATAATTGAAATGAATAATGTATAAGTTCACTTTTATCTCTCATCACATTTATTATTCTACCAGGAAAAAAATATTTTGAAATAAAAAACGTCAAGTACAAATTTTAGGTCTAATATTTTTAAATAAAATATACAAGAATTCTTATAAATAAATGTGATCGATGATTTCTTGAAACTTCTGGACCTGGGATTTCCGGAAACTTCCGGTGACGGTTAGCGAAAAATCCGGATTTTTTCCGGAGCACTTTCACTTTTGAATATAAAAAGCCTAAAATAGAATTTTAAATTGAAAAAATAAATAAATAAATTAAGTTTAAAAGATAATTCGCTCTAGAAATGATGCTATTTCTTTCATTTTCTGAAAGAACACTATAATTCTTAAAGAAATACCTATAATAAAATTATTTTATATTTTAATAGAATATGACAATGAGTGGGGATTTTGCTACTAATTTAGATATTCGGCACAGTGGAACATTGTGAAATTGGGAGGTGGTAAATTTTCCATTTTAAAAATTAGAATTTTCGGCCACCTATACCCATGACTTTCTATGATTTTTCTTTAAAAAAATAGTTAAAATCATACCTAATTTTGTTCAATACCGAAATCCATAACTTTCCAGGTGTGCAGATAGCCTGCATGTACAAGCTCTGATATGGGAACATATCCTATACGCCATACATTTCAGAGAAGGAAGGGTGGAAATCCCTCTTAAACATATATTAACAAAATAAAATTTAAATGATAAGTGTTTATTTGCATTTTAAGAGGAATTGTTACATAAAAGCATGTATTCAGTTCTACTTCTTTATCATTAAATGAGCATACTTAAAAAATAAAAGTGGTTAGTTTTAAATTGTTGATTGAAAAAATTAATAAAATATTATGAGATAATTTGGAATGATGTAGTATGTTTCAATGAAGGTCAAAATTACGTTTAAATGTATTGCTTTAATAAACTCCTCCCCCCCCCCAAAAAAAAATGGCTTAACTAATGTCTCCTAGAAAAGAGAAGGTCTCAACACAGGTTATCATAAACAAGAAATTTGATCCTTTAGTAGTCCAAACGTAATGACATCTTTCGTATTTTTACCAGCTGCGCATCCTTAGTAGCCCGAATGTAGTGACATGTTTATTATTTTTCCTCCACTTAACAGTTTATGTTCGTTATGTCGGATTATTAAATTGATCCGTGCTAAGGCTTTTTCTCATCTAGGAGGTGTTGGTTTACCCCCCCAACAAACTATATTTTTAAAGAAAAAAAATCTTATTTTTTATCTCCCGCTATTTCTATCATAAATTGCTTGACAAAAGAATTTATAGAGATTTTGTATTTACAGAAAGTTTGACATTTTATCCAAGTTACTACCCTTCGAGTTGGTCCATTTCCGTGATCTTTTTTTTAGTTTTTCTCGGCCCACTGTCCGAAAGTCATTAGAACTTGGCGATTAATTTTGCCTAGATACAGATAAGAGAGTATTCTATGAAATACATAGAATGTTTATAAAACTTTGTAAAGTTTTACTTGGAGCTGACAGTTGCATATAGAACAGAAGGTAAAGAGTTTAATTAATTTTTGGAATTAATTGTAATTAATAATATTAAATATCTTACCCTGCTATTTTCTGGGCTAAATCGGGATGAGAATTACCCGCCAAAATAATAATATCGGTAGAGCCTGGAATATTCATCCTTGACTAGCCTAAGTTAAAGACAATCTTTAAGAAATATCTTATCAAGTGAGGCGATTAAAGTCCACGTGATGTAGATGTTTAAAAGGACTGTAAATTTTACTAGGAAAAAAAAAACAAGCGAACGGATCAAAAGAGTAAAAAAAAAGATAAATAATGTCGTAAGAAAAGAAATTAGATGAAAAATTCAAAAGTTCTCAAATACTACGTAATATAGCATCATATAATGCAAAATGTATTCATTTTATTCGGTCATTTCGGAAGGTAAACAAAACAAATTTGGCCATCACCACAATCAGTTAATTAACCTTATGGTGAAATTTTCTATCTAAAAGTATAGCTTTTTCGCTTTAATCATACTCACCATAGGAAAAAGATTAAAGCCTGGTAATGATTTTAAGAGCCATTCACGCTTTACGTAAAAAACGCGTATAAGAATTTGAAGATGCTACTGAGAACCTGATTGATGAACTGCGGGTTCGATCACCGGCCCAGACACCGGATTTTCGGGATGCAGAAAATCCTCAGCGGCCATGTCGTATGNCAACCAGGAAATAATAAAAAAAAAAACCTGATTGATGAATCATCAAGATTCATTCGACTCTCCGAATTCGCGCAAGTGCATTTTTCGAAAGTAGCGTGAACGGTTTGAGCTTTTCAAAGAGACCTTTCTAACAGCATTTTGTAATTTTTGCTACTAACAGTGACCACTTCAAGAAAAAAGAAATTTTAACAGCGTGCTTTCCGTCGTTGGAGAATTCTCACTAAAAATTACACACGTACATGCGGGTACCCATTGCATCTGCAGGAGCACTCAAGTGATTTTCTGTGCAATTTTCCAAACTTGAAAATTGAAAGAACATTTTTACAATGGGGTTAAATGAATGAAATGATTTTCTCTGCCAGTTATCCATTATTGAAAAATTAAACAGAAAAATTATAATTCACACACTCAACATTGTAAATTTTCAAGCGTTCAGTTTATCAAAAAAACTCGTTTTTGAAATGTTGTGGCGTTCATCGAAGTCAAACCAGAAAAAAAAAGCATTTGACCAATTGGTAACCAGTGATCGTAATAATGCTATCACAATTTTTTTTACATTTTTTTTCTTTTTAAACAGTATTGTGCTGATGAAGATCTTTTGACTCGGACCCCAGAAAGTACTTCTGACCTCCAGCCATCTAAAAAGAATTTTCTGATCTCCTGTCGCTGTGTCACTGATACATTTGGAGCATCACCATAACAGTGGAGCATCGCGAACCCCATTGATCTCAGAGCATCACATTATATTCCAGAGCATTCCAATGGATTTCGAAGCATCACAAATCCCATGGAACAAATGGATCTTGGAGCAACCTAATTAATTTCAGACAAACGTCATGGAACATCTCTTGGATTCAGGTGTACTTCAAAGAAGCACTTGCTTGTATTCATAACCGTCGTTGAACGGCTGGCCCAATTTTGGGTTCACGACTACCAATGTTCAACTCCGTAGCCTTGTAGTTTGGAACCAGAGTCAGGAGACAAGAGAACTTTTGAATCAAGCAGTGGGAGGAATTCGCCCTTGTGGAGGACTTTTTAAAAGGAACTAACCCGCATTTGCTTTGCATGGAGAGGAAACCACGAAAACCTTCCATGGTTAGCCTGACCGCAATAGGACTCTAACCAATGATCCGTCTACCACTGAGGATATTTTACATCAGCATTGTGGTCGGTCCAAGCCGGATGCGGAATTCATATCGACCAGCCAACTGTGGGATTCAAACCCGGTTCACCTCATTAGGAGGCAAACGCTCTATCCCTTGAGTCATCACTGCTCCCATAGAAGCATTGCAATGTTGCTCAAAGCAACCCAATGCAACATCGCTATGATTTGCATTAATATGCACCTGCTTAGCTGACACGTTTTCATTCGATCCGAAACTGAGTTACTTCCATTGACTTGTTATTGAAAATGTTATTGAAAGTACGTAATTTTTTGAAAATGATTTTAATTTTAGTCGGTCTTATTCTCGAATGGCTTAATGTCGCTTTTGTTGGCGTCTTGAAAGCAGAATCGATGAACAAAATTTGGCGTCAATTAAAATGACCCGTTTTGATATAATTATGTATAAAAGCAAATTTTTCAATTATGAATGATAGAACTATTTTAAATAAATAAATAATTATTCTTTTGTCTCAGTTTGCATTGAATTTAATGCCATAAAAATAAGCGTTCTTTAATAAAAAATGACCAGGGTTTCGTTTGTATGAGATGCTTATCTTTTCGAAAATATATATTTTTTCTAATTTAACTTTCATCTCTAAGACTAGACTCTAGACTAGAGCATTGCAATGTCCGATAATATCGTCGTAATAAAACGGTCACACAAATATATTGTATACATTTTAATCTGCTTATTTTTTTAAAATACTTTTTCGTATTTCTTCTTTATTTGACTTTTTTCGCGTTTAGTGCATAGGTTTGCCTTAATCAGGGGTCTCATTCATTTCAGCGACAATCACTTAATCGACAGACCATTTCATAGGCTAGGTCATTTGCTCAACAGGCCATTTAATCGACAGGCAATTTCGTCGACAGGGTCATTTCGTCAACAGGGTCATTTCACCAAAAGGGTCACTTCATCGACAAGGTCATTTCGTCGACTGGGTCATTTCATCGACAGGGTCATTTCGTAGACAGGGTATTTCGTCGTCAGGGTCGTTTCGTCGACAGCGTTATTTTCGTCTACAATTTTTAGAAAAGATTATTTCGTAGGCAAAGTTATGCATAATTTTGAAACTATTTTAATGATTTTTTTAGATTAGACGTTATTTCCCTTGCACTTCTTTGTAATTTAGTATATTTGTGTTGAAATTTTTAAAACCTATTCTGATGCAAAATTTTTATAGTATGTTGAAGTTGCCAGAAAAGAATCAATTCATTTGAAAATTGCCTATTCCTCTATTCGCATCACGTTGCAAAAACGAAACCTTTTTTACATCTGGTGTTCTAATTGTATTTTACACATTTAAGTTGTATTTTCACATTTTTTTCCTAGTCATATTTTACCCATGTATTAGATCTAAAGATATCTAAGATTAATTTTTAATGTGCAGTATTGTAGATTAGCATCGCAAAAGCAAGTGCAATAACTATTGTGAAAGATTCTGTTGTTGTGTTGTTGTTGCTAATTCCCATCTGGTCTGACGGGGTCGAACTGCGGGTTCGATNACAGCTCAAGATGTGCTCAGTTGATGCCTGGTTTTGTTGGCATTTAGGGCAAGAGGAAAGATCTTTTCATTAGCAGAAAATGTGAGACTTTTCAGGTGTCCACTGGCCAGTCGGTATAAGCAATTGTTGGTTTGCCTGTCACCAGGAAGAGATAGAGAGAGTCCTGGTCTTTTTGCTTTATACCAGTAGTGAGTAGGTGGAAGCAGCCACTTTTGTTTGTTCTGGGCCTTTTGCCTTGCGAAAAGGTGAAATATTCTTGATGTAGGGAGTGAATGAAGGGTGAAAATGTAACACATTTTTTCCTTCTTACCAAAACAGATAATTTTTTATTGCTAAAATATCAGAAAAATTCTATCTGTCTACTCTAACCTCATGTAAACAGTCTCTTATATGTTTCGAAGCTACTTTTTTAAAAATTTACTTGCAAGATACCATGTGAATCAGTTTACTTATGCAAATATAATTACTTAAGGCCTATGATTATTTTCATTGCTGTGGGAATTACACTGAAGTCTATGGTTTTGTTAAAATGTATTTAAAAATGTTGAAAATTTTTACAGCAAAAACTTTAGCCCCCCCCTGAAAAAGTGTCTAAATTTTCATTGTAATATATTTTTATTACTTTTAATTTTTAGGATATTATATTTTATTAATTTGATTTGATATTAGAAATAATTTGATTGCTAACGTTACACTATATCAATTTTTGACAACGGTCCGGATTAGAATGTTCTGAAGACAATCCTTACCTATAATGAAAACAAGTGTTGATCTAATACAATTTAGATGTAGGGAAGTAGATTTTGATGCATCAACCATTCTCGATTAAGCGCTTCTCAACAACCTATCAATTTATTTAATCTATAGTTTCAGCAAAATAATCCTGTCGATAAAATGACCCTGTCGACCTAATAACCTTGCCAACGATATGACCCTATTGACGAAATGACCCTGCTGACGAAATGACCCTGCCAACGGAATGACCTATCGACGAAATGACCTAGTCGATGAATTGGTCTGTCGATGAAATGGCCTGTCGATAAAGTGATTGTCGAACCAGACCCATATATCAGTAATATACCTGTAATATACTCAGTTATAAAACTGTAATATATCAGTTTTTTTCTAAAATAATTACAAAGAAAGTTATCTGAAATGCTTTAATTTTCAAAAGTAAATAATCATCAATATTTAGAGGTAACTAGTTCCAACAAATTTAAAACCATTTGTGCTACTACTTTTTATTTATTTATTTATTTTTTGAAAAAAGTAACTGTTCTTTTAAAAGAACGCTAGGCATAAACAGGTTAAGAGTTATTCTCACCATTTGGATTGTTGGTTAAATTTTTTTTTTTTTGGTGTTTGTGTTTTCTTCATATTTTTTGTTAATGAGTCCATTTTCCTCTATGAATATTTAAAGAAGATAATTTTTTTCTTCCGTATTTCGGATTATGTTCATCGTTATGTTTCATTTGAATAATTTACTGCAAATTATAAGGGTATTAAACATTTGAAATTCTTAGATAATCATTTTAATGTCTTAGACCTAACGAAGATAAACTCTTGGTGCATGGAATTTATTATTTCTAGCAGATTGTGCTTATGTTTATTATGCTGCTATAGGGGAGCTCTGTAAATGTTTGTAAGTCATCAAGAAGCAATATTAATATTTATTAAGCCTTAAGTATTAATTAAGCCTTTTTTTTTAGTCAAAAAATGCATTCCATGGTGATTTTACTTGTTGTTTTTTAGAAGTAACAAGCATTAAATAATCCAGAGATCTAGAAAAGCGTTAAAGTTTCCATTAACTTTTACCCCACCGTTATTTGAGTTTCAGATGGCAGACGCAAAAATGTCCGAACAAATTACAGTATCGCCAAGGGTTAGAAAATACGGTTAGAGTTACGGTTTACGTAAGATAAACTCTAGGCAATATCTCTATTAAGTTTTAGGTCCCGCAGTGGTCCCGATCGTAAAGATACGGTTCCCAATGGAACATCGAAGTCAAGCATCACTGGTTGCGGTAAGTAAGCGATGGGGTGACCACTTTGATCAGCTTACGTAGGGACCGAGAGTGTGCGGTATCGGTCCTTGTTAAACTACCGCAAAAT